CTTGAGTCTTGTATTTGAAAGTCAGATTTTCTATTCAGCTCTGGTCTTTTCATCAAGAATGCTTGAAAGTCCTCTATTTCACTGAATGATGATTTTTTTCCCCTGAAGGGTTATACTCAGTTTTGCTGGGTAGGTGATTCTTGGTTGTAATCCTATCTCCTTTGCCCTCCTGAATATTATATTACATGCACTGTGGTCCTTTAATGTAGAAGCTGCTAAATCTTGTGTTATCTTGATTGTGTTTCCACAATACTTGAATTGTTTCTTTCTGGCAGCTTGTAATATTTTCTTCTTGACCTGGGAACTCAGGAATCTGGCTACAATATTCCTAGGAGTTTTCCTTTGGGGTTCTCTTTCAGGAGGAGATCGGTGGATTCTTTCAATTTCTATTTTGCCCTCTGGTTCTAAAATATCGGGGCAGGTTTCCTTGATAATTTCTTGAAAGATGATGTCTAGGCTCTTTTTTTCATCATGGCTTTCAGACAGTCCAATAATTTTTAAATTCTCTCTCCTGGACCTATTTTCCAGGTCAGTTGTTTTTCCAATGAGATATTTCACATTGTCTTCTATTTTTTCATTCTTTTGGATTTGTTTTACAGTGTCTTGATTTCTTATAAAGTCAATAGCTTCCAATTGCTCTGTTCTAATTTTTAAGGAAGTATTTTCTTCAGTAATCTTCTGGACTTCTTTTTCCATTTGGCCACTTTTTCTTTTTAGGGCATTCTTCTCCTCATTGGCTTTTTGGACCTCTGTTGCCATTTGAGTTAGGCTATTTTTTAAGGTGTTATATTCTTCAGTATTTTTTGGGTCTCCTTTAGCAAGCTGTTGACTTGTTTTTCATGATTTTCTTGCATCACTCTCATTTCTCTTCCCAGTTTTTCCTCTGCTTCCCTTACTTGCTTCTCAAAATCCCTTTTGAGCTCTTCCAAGGCCTGGGACTGATTCATATTTTTCTGGAGACTTTGGATATAGGAGCTTTGACTTTGTTGTCTTCTTCTGGTTGTATGTTTTGATCTTTGTCACCAAAGTAAGATAATATAGTCTGACTCTTTTTGCACTGCTTACTCATGATCCCGGCCAATTACTTGAGTTTTAAACTCTTTGTTAAGGTAAGAGTCTGCTTCCAATGTGGAGAATGTACTGTTCTAAGCTTCGGGGGTTTGTACAGCTGTTTTCAGAGATACTTGTAGGAACCTGTAAATTTTGAGTTCTTGCAAGGTGGTATGATAAGGGGCATTACTCCTTTCCTGGCCTGTGCTCTGGTCTGTTGGTGACCAGAAGCACTCCTTTCTGTCCTGGAACTGTGAGAAGGGTTTTCTCTCCATAGCCACTACAAGCTCCACCATGCCAGTGCTCCTTCTTGCCCCAGGACCGCTGTCCAGAACTGTGACCCAGATCCAAGCACGGCAAAGCAAAAGATTCCTGCCTCAGCACTGGCAAAGAGATCCCTACAGTCCCACTCTGATCAGCCACCTGATTCCCCCTCAGTCTGTGAGCTGGAAGCTCAGACACAGTCACTGCCCTAGGGCCCGCTCTCGTCATACTGCATTCTGGAACTGGCTCTGAGACCTAGCTCCTTTCTCACCGCAGAAACACTTTTCCCACTGACCTTCTAAGTTATCTATGGCGTTCATGGATTGAGAAGTCTGGAAACTGCCACAGCTGCCCACGATGCAGTCCTCTGAAGCCTGCTCCAGGTTCCCTGAGGCCTGCGCATCCACAACGCACTGCCCTCCTCTCTCCACCCAGCGTGATATACTTTTCCAATCAATCATCCAGATTGTCTGGGCTGGAAATTTGCTTCGCTCTGTCTTTTTGTGGGTTCTGCTGCTTTAGAATTTGTTTAGAGCCATTTTTTATAGGTATTTGCAGGGTTTGGGGGGAGAGCTCAAGCAAGTCACCTCTTTCACTCCACCATCTTGGCTCCGCTTCCACAATGGGCTTTTTAAAAGCCAGTTTTTTCAGAGCTATATTTCAAGAAATCATAAATGAAAACTGCAAATTGTCCCAGCTTTTTGGGGAAAAAATAAGTAAAATTTTTTAAAAATTGGAGATATTTTGGGGTTTGGGAGCTAGATTTTTTAAAATTTATTTTAATTTATTTTTTATTACTTTTTGAAAAGAAGTTTAAGGTGAAGTATTAGCAAATACCAAATCACTACACAGCTGCACACAAATACTTGTTGAATTGAAATAAATTCTCTATAGTACAAGAGTTCTTAACCTTTATTTGTGTCATGGCAAAACCTCCGATAGCCTAGTGAAGTCTATGGACTCCTCAGAATCAGGTTTTTAAATGTACAAAGTTAAATACATAGATTACAAAGAAAACCAATTACACTGAAATGGAAATATCAAAATATTTTTTAGAAACTCAAATTCCTGAAGTCCAGGTTTAGAAACCCTGACATAAAAGAAAAGTAAATTCAGCATGGGTTTATTAATAGACATTAAACACCAGAATTAGAATCATATTACTTTGTAAACTAAGTATCTTTATAATATAGTATTGGACTATCTGAAAGGCAGTTGGAGGTGAGAGATTGAAGGTCAGCAGAGAGGTTGGGGCAGGAAAGGCAGATTTGAGAATTATTAGCATAGAGATGAGAATTAAATCAATGGAAGTTATTAAGATCACCCAATGAAGTAGTATAAAGGGAGAAGAAAAGAGGGCTCCTGGCAGAGCAAAGTAGACTAAAAAGAAGTCAGATACATAGGAGGAGAACCAGGAGAGGGGAATGGTATAGTATTATCCCATTTGACATATTGGAAAACTGAGGCCCATAGAGATTAAGCCAAATAAACCGGGGAAGGAATTTAGATCACTAGGCACTCTTGCCTCCTTTAAGCAGTAAAAAGTTGATTTCAATGGCCAATTCTGAAACTGGGGCAGAGGAGGGTACAAGGGGGAAAACAGTAACAGCCATATAGAGAAGTCAGAGGGGGAAGGCCATTTATTTGATGGGGAATGAGAAAGGCACCTACTGTCCTTGCCTTGGCTGGGATTAAGGACCTCCAAGTTCTAAGGAACCTCTGGGCCTTGGGGCAGAATCTAAGGCTTGAGCATCTCCTGGATTGAGCCACTCCCCACCTCCCCCACCTGGACAAAATCTTGTTATTTGAATTTCAAAGCCTGGATCCCTTCACGTGGATTTGTCTATAAAACTGAATTCAGCATCTTCCTCAGTTGGCTATTTGCCTGGCAATGTCCTGGAGATCCGTTCTCCTTTCCCCTTCCTCCTGCCCCCCAAATCCATCTATTTGTGAAATTTTAAGTGACCTACCGGATAGAGCACCAGCCCTGGAGTCAGGAGGACCTTAGTTCATATCTGACCTCAGACTGGGTAAATTACTTTATCCTGTTTGCTTCAGTTTCCTCATCTGTAAAATGAGCTGGAGAAGGAAATGGCAAACCACTCCAGTATCTTTGCCAAGAAAACCCTACCTAGGGTCACAGGAGAGTGGAACACAACCACAATAAGGACAAAGGTGAAAGTGGCTAATTCAATAAATACCTGTCAATCACCTGTAATGGGCACATTGACAAAAGTAGAAAAGGAGTCCCTGCCTTACCCTCGAGGAGTGGGGGAATCCTGCAGAGGTATCCTGAATGAATGGTGCACTAGCCATAAGGTTTACAATGAAATCAGAGACTGATACTGTAACTTCTCTGAGTTCATACTGTATCTTCTTTCCCTGCAGAATGGAAACTCCTGGGGGCAGGGACTACTTTTTGTATCCCCAGCATGTAACAGTCCACGGACCTTTGTGGCAGCGGTTTGTTGAATTGAATTGAGTTGTATTCCTGAGGGTAGGGCATGACTGGGGGTGGAGACAAAGATCTGGAAAAGCTGCTCAGGCAGTGAGGGGGAAGGAGGCCATGCTAGGCAGGAGGCAATCCTCAGAAAGCTTTATGGGGCAGCTAAATAGATCAGGTCTTCTGAAGGTGTCAGGCATGGTCTAGGGAGGGCTTAGACTTGCTGGCTGCTGCCATCCATTTCATCTCTGAGATTCCATGATCCTAGGAGATTCCCTATCAGTGGCTCTGCTGTCAGCCCTGAGAAGAACCAACTTCTCTTCACAGAAAGAGAAGAAAGAGAAAAACTAGGGAAAGCAGACACCAAACTCCAAAAGCCCAGCAATCTGGGACCATTACATGTCAGAGCATCTCTGTAATAATGGTAAAAAGTGATGCTGAAAATAATAATAATGATAGTAGGTAATAATGGCAAATGTTGGAGGGGCTGCGGGAAAACTATCCAAGCATTATTGGTGGAACTGTTTATCGGTCCAACCATTCTGGAAAGCACTTTGGAACTACGCTGTGCCTTCCCTTTGACCCAAGCCATACCACTGGTAAGCCTATGCTCTACAGAGATCAAAGAAAGAGGAAAAGGACCTATATTATAAAAAATATCTATAGCAGCCCATTTTGTGGTGGCAAAGAGTTGGAAAGTGAAGGGGTTCCCATCAGTTGGGGAATGGCTCAACAAATCTGGCATATGCATGCAGTGGAATACTACTGTGCTTTATGAAATGGAGAAACTATTTCAGAGAAACCTGGGAAGATATGTCTGGACTGCTGCAGAGTAAAGTGAGCAGAACAATTTCTACAGTAACACTGATACTATAAAAATGACCACTTCTGAAGGTGTAAGGGCTCTGATGCACACAATTGCAGGCCAGGATTCCAGAGCACTGGTCAGAATGCTGCCCTCTTCGGGACAGAGGGACGATGGACCAATGCACAGAACAAGATGCAGATTTTTGTCGGGGTCAATGTAGACATTTGTTTTGCTTTACCAGGCTTACTTGATACAAGGGTTTTATATTTCTTTTCTTTTTTTCCCCTTCCATTTGGGGTAAGGAGAAAAAAGAAATGCTTTGCTAATTAAAAAAAATTATAGTAGCTAACATTTATGTAGCAAAATATTCTATGTGTATGACCTCAAGACTTGGCACAGTTGTGTGTTAGGTTCTCTTGTCATCCCCTTTTATAGATGAAGAAACTTGGGTCAGAAGACGTGTCCATGGACAGACAGGGCTTGAGGCAAGTCTTGAATTTAAGTCTTCCTGACTTCAAGTCCAGCACTAACACAATGATCCATGACCGGGTTTGGAAGCCTCCTCGGGCCTCAGTTTCCTCAAGTGTACCATGAGGAGGTAAGCTCATCTCCAAACCTCCTTTCAGCTCTAGTATTCTATCATTGCCTATTTCTTAGTGATGACCCCACTCAACCCAGGGAATGACCTCGAAACATAGGATCCTGAACTTGGGGTTCGTCAGGACTTTAGAGGGCAGCAATCCAACCCCACCCCCCCTTTATTTTCCAGAAGAGGCCCCAGGCCAGTGACATGAAGCTCCGAGTCACCTAGGTGGTAGGGGGCAGAGCCCAGACTTGAACCCAGACCCTTTGCCTACCTTTTGTCTGTGCCTCACTGCCTTCCTTAGAAAACCGCCTTCCTAAAAAGCTCCTCAAGAGTCCTCTCCTGGTCCCACCATCTGCACAAGCCTTTCCTGCCACTGCTCCTTTTCCTCCCTCTCTCTTATCTCCAATTTATCCAATTTCATCTTGTTTGTACGTAGTCATTTGCAGTGTCTCCCCCATTAGACTGGAAGCTCCTTGAGGGCAGGGACTGCTTTTGCCTTTCTTTGTATCTGCAGTGCAGTGCTTGGCATGTAGTAGGTACTTAATAAATGCTTATTGACGTGTTTAAATCCTGCACCAATATGATGGAGCCTGGGGTGGGGGAGGGGCCACCAAGCTGCCTAAGGAAGGGGGAAGCAGCCCTGGTGTGAGATGGGCAGATTCTAGCTTCATGTGGGGCCAACTGTTCCTCCAGGATGCTTGTGCTGATCCCCTGCCCCCAACTGCCATTGGTGGTGTCCCCATGTTATTTGGTATTTATTGAGTAATAATGACGATGATGGTGACAGCTGGCATTTATGTAGTGTTTTATGAAGGCTGGCAAAGTTCTTGACAAACATCATCTCATTTGATACTCGTAACAATCCTTTAAGGTAGGTGCTATTATTGGAAACTGAGATTGAGGTTAAGTGACTTTGGACAGGGTCTCACAGCTAATGTTTGAGGCAGGATTTGAACTCAGGTAGTAATAATAATTACGTACTTAGCTGTGTTACCCTGGGCAAATCACTTAACCCTGTTCGCCTCAGTTTCCTCATCTGCTAAACAAGCTAGGGAACAAAATGGCAAGCCACTCCAGCATCTGTGCCAAGAAAACTCCCAGTGGAGTTGGACATGACTGAAAAATGACTCAACAACAATAATAACATCTAACATTTACATAGCACCTACTGTGTGTCAGGCTCTCCGTGGACCTTCCTGTTCTAGTCAGTGTCATCCTCCAGAATCTCCTATTTGAAACCTTGAGCTCTCCTCTCTTTTCCTTCCTGCTGGATCGCTGACCAAGGTCCTGTCAATCCCACACCCATCACACGGCTGCCCATTCCTCTCTTCCTATGCATTCCATGTACCGGCTCTCAGTATCTCCCACCTTGACCAAAGCAGCCTCTCTGGTCATTCTCTCCAAGCCGTCCTGCAAGGCACCACCAGAATCATAGACCCTTCACGTCCCTCCTCTGCTCAATCCTTCCATGGCTCCCTCTTGCCTCTCCAGTAACATTCAGATTGTTTTTGTCTGGTGCCATCCTATCTTTTAAGCCTCATCTCTTTCTCCCTCCACACAGGCTATGCTCCGGCTTAATTGGATTATTTATGCTCTGAGCCCTGAACCTGCCCAGCATCTTCTCCTGCCTTCATGCCTTTGCTTAGGCTCTTTCCACATCCTTCTCCACCCATTGAATTTCCATCTATCATTTAAAGCCCAAATCAAATGCTACCTTCTCTAGGAAGGCAGCCCTCCTTGACCACCTCCCTACCCCTCATACAGTGACCTTTCTTCTCTGAGGGCTAGTGTAGTTAGCTCTTGGCTGTATATTCCTTTAATGTGCTCATCACATATTGGCATCAGTGGATAGAATGGTGTCAGGAAAGCCAAAGTTTAATTCCTGTCTTTAATAGGAGCTGGGTGAACCTTGACAAGTCATTGAATGGTTATGTGCCTCAGTTTCCTCATCTGTAAATGGGTGTTTTGGCAGTACTGGCCTCACAGGGTGGCTGTGAGGCTCGCATGAGGCACATTGAGGCCTCAGAAATATTTGTTGTCATCACACAGAGAGACCTGGATTCAAGTTCTTCCTCTGGCACACACTGGCTGAACAGCCTTGGGCAAGTCCCTAAGACTTGAGGTTGCTGATCTGCATTGGTTGAGGGAGGTTTCTGCACTGATGAAATACATCATAGGCTTCCTGCTTTCAAAAGTGGGTTCCTCCAAAGCAGGGGCAGCTTGGCTTCCCAGGGCTTTGCACATAACAGTAAGAGCAGAGAGCTAGCTAGCATTCACTTAAATTGCGTTTTCAGGTTTGCAATCATTTTACAAACATTCTCTCATTTAATCCTCATGACAGGAGTTAGATGCTATTGTCATTGTTATTACCCCCATTTTACAGGTGAGGAAACTGAGGCAGGCAGCAGTTAGGGGACTTGCCCAAGGTCAACAGCTCATGTTCTAGGCTAGATTTGAACTCAGCTCTTCTGGTATCCAGACCCTGCACTATAACCACAGTAACACCGGGCTGCCACTTACAGGTGGAACTGCTTTTCCTTTAATTGTCTATTGTTGTTATCTGTGGGTCTGTCTTTCCCCCTACCAATAGCTAAAATCTCCATGAGGATATTGGGAAGGGATGGGGGGAGGGACCTCGCAGTCCATCTTGTCCTAGCTCCCTCATTTTACAGATGGGGAAACTGAGGCCTCTTGCAGACAGGCAGAGGTTTGTTCAAGGCAGGCAGGATTTTGAACCCAGGCCCTGACCCCTCTGAGTCTAGAGCCAATCCTTGTTACCAGATCCTGGGCTACCTGACCCCAGTCTTAGCTGCACTTTATATGTTTTCACACAGTAGGCAAGAGAGCAGTGTTAAGTTGGATTGGACAGAATGAAGATAATTGCTTTTCACCCAGAGCCTTGGGAAGCCCATGAGAGGGCAAGGGGTCATCTGAGTTCGTCGCATCACCACACCTCCGTTTGGAATCCTGTAGCAGTCTGGACCAGCAGCCTCCTCCAAGCCAAGGCTCCCAGCCTTCCCATCAACACTGAGGCTGCTTCCCTCCGAGATTCACAAGCCCTGGCTGGAGAAATCAATGGCTGGGTCTTTGTGGTCCATTCATCCAACTGTAGCCTGCCCCCGCCTGTGGGTGTCCTTGCTGAGCAGAAAAGGAAAACAGGATTGGGATAAACCTCAGGCTTTCTGGCTTAACTGGGAGGGTCTAGGGCTCTGCTCCCCGCTGCCAGCTTCCCTGCCTCCCCTGGACTGCGCCAGGCAGATCACTTTCAGGCTCTCCCAAGGTCAGTCCCTTTCCTGAAGGAGGACACAGGATGGGAGAGCCCGCTGCCCTAAGGACCCGAGGCCCCACGTCAGTGAATTACCTGCAGCAGGCTCAGCTTTTATGTGTCTTAGGTCTGTCTGTCTGTGCAAAGGAAAACCAGGTTTATACATCCCTCGATGCAAATTGTGGCCTAAATAACTTGTATTCATTTCCTTAGATGAGTAGATAATTTGACTGCTGGATCCAGTGTGGTCCTATAGTTAGAGAGTGGACCCGGAATCAGGAAGAGGTGGGGGAGGCTGTCCAGTTTCTCTTCTCAGGCTTGCTGTGGAACCCTGTGAAATCCCTCTAAGCCTCAGGTATCATCAAGTCCGTAAGTTAGCTACTGGGTGCTATCTGTTTCTGTGAAAGGAATTATCAGTAGAGAACTCCTAGGTCCTTGAAGTCTTTGTATTTGCTTATTGAGGTACATGAGGACAAGGTTTGCCAGGCACGCTGCTGGCCTTAATCCCCTTTCCTATGCCCTGCCCTCTAGCCCTTCTGGGCTGTACATTTTTGCCCAGACACATCAACCTTCTGCTTCAATGGAACCTCTTGAGACATGCTGACTCCTGCGGCCAGCTCTCTGGCTCCAGCCAGGCAGGAGGAGCTAAGCCAAGGGGCCAAGGGTCAAGAAGATGGAGCTGGACCTCTGAGGTCTGCTGGTTGGTCTGGGAGCTGCTTCCGGAGCCATGCCTGTACTCCCCTGTTGCCTCAAGTCAGGATTCCCAGTCTGGAATTGTGCGGTTCCTGGTACTTTACTACAGCCCGACTGTCAGTAAAGTCTTGCTTTTGCCCATCACTTTCCAGGGAAGAGGGGCGGCAAGCCATCTGACAGCATGTATCCCGGGAGGGAGGGCAGTGGGTTTGGAGTCTGAGGACCTGGAGTCAACAGGTGGAAACAATGAGCTGGATTTAATGTGATCAAATTTAATAGAAATATAAAGTCTAGAATGGAGTTTAAAAACATCCACCTGTGTGGACAAGTACAGGATGGGAGAGAGAGCAAGGTGACAGTGCTCATGAACAGTGTGATGTGGCAGCTATCAATGGTGTGATCTCAGCCTTCCTTAAGAGGACACGTCCAGGACCAGGAACGCCGTGGCCCCATCATCCCTCAACCCGACTGGACCACATGTGGAGTCGTGGTCAGTCGTGCCAACTGTGTTTCAGGAAGGACGTGGGTGGGAGGGTGACCAGCTGGTGAGGGGACTTGGGACCACACCACAGAAAAAACAGCTGGAGGCCCTGGGACCATTTAAACTGGAGAAGAGCCTCGCCTTCAGGTGCCTTCAGGCGTTGGAGGGCTGCTTTAGAATAGAAGGAAGAGACTGCCTTTGCTTGGTCCCAGAGGGCACGAGCAGGAACAATGCGGCAGATGCAGAGGGTCCCGTTTTAGTTCGATGTCAGGAAGAACCTTGGAACAATGAGAGCCGTTCAAGGGGGCGTGGGCCGCCTTAGCAGGGGATTGGTTCTTGTTCACTGGAGGTCTTCAGCCAGAGACGAGAGGACCCTTTGTTAGAAATACTTTAGCTCAAGGGATACTCGGGAGTCTCGGTCAGGTGCGCATTAGGTGAGAGGTCCTTGGAGGGCCTTTCCCACTCAAGTTCTGTGAATCAATATCTTCGGTTTTCCAGCTTTGTGACTTCAGGTCAATCTCTTAAGCTCCTTGGGCTTCAGCTTCCTCATCTGTGGAATGAGGGATTTGGACCAGATCCAGAGTCCAAAGCTATAGGTTGCTTCCAGCTCCGATCCTGTGACTTTCCTCTGCACAGAACAAGGCTCTATGTGAAGAAATCGATCTGTTGCAAACACTCCCGAACATTTGGAAGCAGAAGGACCCAAATAAAAACTCAAAGGAGAGGGAAGAAACAGGCAGGAGGAGAATACAGACAGACAGAGAAACAGAAAAATAGGGAGAGATAGAGACAGAGGAAGAGAGGGAGAGAGAGAGAGATGGGGAGAGACAGAGAGAAAGACAGAGGTGAGAGACAGAGAGGAAAGAGAGCGAGGGAGAGAGATGGGGGGGAGACAGAGAGAGAGACAGAAAAATAGGGAGAGATAGAGACAGAGGAGAGAGAGAGAGAGATGGGGGGAGACAGAGAGAGAGTGAGAGACAGAGAGGAAAGAGAGGGAGAGAGATGGGGGGAGACAGAGAGACAGAGAAAGGTGAGAGACAGAGAGGAAAGAGAGGGAGAGAGAGATGGGGGGAGACAGAGAGAGAGAGAGACAGAGAGAGAGAGGTGAGACACAGAGAGGAAAGAGAGGGAGGGAGAGAGATGGGGGGGAGACAGAGAGAGAGAGACAGAGAGAGAGAGAGAGGTGAGAGACAGGAAAGAGAGAGAGATGGGGGGACAGAGAGGAAAGAGAGGGAGGGAGAGAGGGAGAGAGAGATGGGGGGAGACAGAGAGACAGAGAAAGGTGAGAGACAGAGAGGAAAGAGAGGGAGAGATGGAAAGAGAGAGATGGGGGGAGACAGAGAGAGAGACAGAGAAAGATGAGAGACAGAGAGAAAAGGGGGGGGAGGGAGAGAGGGAGAGAGAAAGAGAGATTAGAAAAAATTAACCATGCTGACAGTTCATTTCTATGGCCAGTTTAAAACCCTTAAAGGATGGGAAATGTAATGATGAATGGGTGGCTATAATTTAAATTCTTTTCCCTGAATGTTAAGGTTAAACAAACATGTGCTAGATATATGATACTATAATTGACCTTCACAAGTTTATGTCTAGTTGTAAGTTGCTTTTTTACTGAGAAAAGATTCGTTTCTTCAGTTTGCCCATTTGTTAATTCACTCATTCATTTGTTCATTCATTTGTTCGTTCGTTTGTTCATTCATTCATTCGTTCGTTTGTTCATTCATTCATCCATCTCTCCATCCACCCAGCAAACCCCTGTGGGAGCACGGCCTCAGTGGGAGGCCCAGCACGCAGTGCTCTGCAGGACGTGAAGCCACTCCGCTTTTCCCTCAGGGATCCCTCCCCTCCAAGAGCTTACATAACTCTGACCCAAATGCCCCTACGTGGGTGGCAGAGATAGTTCATGTACATGGAACTGGATCGTCTCCACTGACTGGTTCAGGGCCTCTGTTTCTGATTAAAGATATTTGGTCTGAAGAGCTCTGGGTTCCTCCAGGGCACCTGTGTCCTGAGTGACGCCTGTCCATCATGATCTGTGCTCTTGGTGTCATAGAGGAAGCTGCAAAACTTTACCTGGCTGAGTGGTCAGATGCCATGTTGGCAGTGGAGAATCAGGGCTCACCCGGCTTCCCCCGGAGGAGTAAATCCATCTTCCAGCATGTATGAAGCACCTACTAAGTGTTGGGCACTGGGGAAATGAGCACAGAAGTAGGACTATCTTGGTGCTCAAGGAGTTTACATTCTGCTGGGGAGATATGATGACCACTGAAATGTCTGTCCAATCCACAAGCTGGAGGGACCTCAGAAATCATCAGGCTCAACCCTCTTATTTTATGGATGAGCTCCTGAGGTAGGCTATCCAAGGGCATGAGGGTAGCAAGTGGAGCTAGGATTCGAATCCAGGTCCTTTGACTCCAAATCCAGGCCTCTATCATCCATGGCACCCAACGTTCTCTCCCAGCACCGTAGGTATTCTTGAATTAGAACCATTCCCTTTGTTCTGGGGTAGATATGATTTGGTAGATAGATATTTCCAGAGACCTGACCCACAGAGAGATGCCACCTGCTGGCGTTCAGTTAAGTTTTGAACCTGGGTTAAAATCACTGTCACCAGCCTTCTTCAGTTGCTTGTGTAGATGGTAAGCTGCTTGAGGGCAGGGACTTAACAACAGGACCATCTACCAAAAGGCAGAGAATAGAACCCACAACGTAGAGGCCAGTGAGCATGACTTCAATGACTGGCAAAATTCTAGAATAATAATTAAAGGGGTAGTTAGTGAGCCTCTAGAAAAGGAAGCAATGATAACAGCTGCTGGCCTTCACTGAGAGTGAGTCATGCCAGACTCAACCTATTTCCTTTTTTGGGGATCGAAGCGGGGTAGGAGGCAATGAATGGATTCTTCTGTTATCATTTTATGCCCTGGTTCTGATAGATCTGAGCTGGTTTTGTTTATGATTTCTTATAGTATGCAGGCTTTTAAAATGTGACTTTTAGGTAGTCTGATGATTGACAGATGATTTTTTCTTTGACCTACTTTAAACGTTTTTAATAGTATATGCCTTTTATTTTCTTTACTTTTTCAATCTTTTTGTCATTGGGTGACTGGGGCAGGAGACTGATGACCGGGGAGCAGGTGTTAGCGTGCTTGGCTGGTACGGTCCTCCATGGGGAAGAGGCTGGGGAGCCTGTTTTGAAAGAGGCACAATGCCATGGAAAATGGACCAATGCCTTGGGGAGATTAGGACTGTACCTGCTCATGGTCTTGGATGGGTTCGCCACGTCTTCTGTGCCGGGCACTCCCACTCACCACTGCCCATCATTCCTCCCCAATTCCTTTTGTCCACAGGGTTGCTAAACTGATAAATAAGCTGTATTTAGGGCTTCAGTGATAGTTCCCCCCGATGGTGGGAAAGCCCTTGACAAAGATTCTGGATTAAGTAAGTGGCTCAGAACCGACTCAGTGCTGGAGCCGTGTTAGTCCTACATCCATCCGGAAGTTGGCCTCCCATTTCATCGTTGACTCGGATAAAGGCCTAGGTGGTAGATGACTCAACGCTGGAAGGAATAGCTCTTTTCAGGGAGGATTTGAAAAGGTCCCAAGAGTCCAAAACATTGGGGCACATCTACAAATCAGATTTAGTGACCAAATCCCTGTGACATCAGCTCCGCGTTGTCCTATGTCCCATAAGTACCCAGGTATTTGCCTGTTCCTTATGCTGGTGCTTTGGCCTTTCTTTGTAGCACTAAGAACTCAGTAAACTTTCCTCTCCCTCTCTGAATCTCTAAGACCAGTTAACACAAAGAACCTGAAAATTTACCAACAAATTTAACAGAGGAAAAAAAAAGTTGTTTGGGAAACTTTTGGAGTGCAGAGACCTGTGTTTGGAAATCTGGGGGTTGAGCCTAGCTGTGTGGCCTTGGGCAAGTCACTTTCTTCCCTTAGGCCTTGTTTTCCTCATGTGTAGAATGGGGACACCCCCCGCTCACCCCAGAATTGTGGCAAGGCTTAAAAATGAGATCCCACAAGTGAGGGGATTGGTAAGCCACAAAGTACTGGAGAAGTGGGCGCTATCCTGATGGCCACTTGGATTTATGTCTCTGTGTCACGCCACCCTTGGGGGATCACGTGCTATATCTGGGGGCTGGAGGGACAAAGAGGCTGAGGACTGAAGCAAGTCAAGGAAACTAGCAGGGGTGACATTATCCTGCGCTTTGGCAATGGAATGGAGGATGAAATGGGGTGAGTGGAGATATGGGGCAGGCAGACCCACTACCAGGCATGAGGTGCTGATGGTCTGTACTGAGGGGGTTGCAGCATCAGAGGAGAGAAGGGGGCGGATCCGAGAGACATCGCTAAGGTGAGTCCCAGGCCGGTGAGAGGCGGTGGAGGACGAAGCCTCGGTGGTGAGGCAGCATCGACACTGAGCGGGACTGGCCTGGGTGTTGAGCCGGTGGCACAGGCATGGCTAACTCTTTTATTTCCCTCAGTTTTCTTCTTGTGTAAAATGGGGAATTGTGTGTGCTTCCCTCCCGAGGTTGTAAGGTTTAAAGGCAATAACCCATAGGAAGTGCTTTGTGAATCCTCCAGACCCAAGAGGACTGGGACGTGTCTCCCAAGAGTGAACCACCACTACCACATTCTCATAGAAACAAATATGCAGCCTACACGAGAACAGAAATTTCAGCTGGAAATCTCCTAGGATCACTAATTCATTCAACAAGCATTTATTGATCGCCTACTGTTTGCCAGACAAAAAGGAAAGAATCCCTGCCCTCGAGGAGCTCACATACTAGATGAAGAAAACAAGATGTACACAGTTAATACAAAATACATAAATACAAAATAATATCGGGGGGCGGAGGTGGGCAGGAGCATTGGGGTGGGCCTCTTGGAGGAGGCGGCTGAGCTGAGCTGAGCCTTGAGGGAACTCGCGATTGTAAGAGGTGGGGGTGAGGAGGGAGTGAGGCCCGGAAAGCCAGGCCGGAGCCAGGCCGTGAAAGGCTCCCATGCCCAGAGCGGACCTCGGGAATGATCTAGTCCAGCCCTCTTGTCTGACCGACAGAGAAAGCGAGGCCCCAAGGGGCAGTGTCTGGCCTGAGGACCCAGGGAGGGGCCCCCGCAGTGGGAGGCGGGCTTTGGGGTCTGCTCCCCTTCAGCCTGTCCCCTCTCACAGTCAGGATTTTGGTGATGACTCGGGTTAACAAGCTCGTTTACAGGTGAGGAAACAGGCTCACTCCTCAAAGTCACAGACCCAGGTGGAGGCCCAGCCAAGATCACCAACCGAGTCTCGGAGGGGGGATGGGGAGAGGAGAAAACATGCAGGCCGGGCAGGTGGCCCTCGGACGTTCGTTTTCCACGAGGCCTTGGGTCACTGTCAGCATCAACGAGGCCAGCCGCGGAGGGGGACTGCCACGGAGGGGGGCTGCCACGGAGGGGGGCCATGATCCAGGAGGGAGGTGGTCACCTACTCGACCCCAGTCCCCTGAACCACACGCTCTGCCCCATGCACTGTGGATAGCTGAAATGCTCTGCTGGAAGAACTGACAAGTCTGAACTAGGAAACGTCGTGTCGCAAGATTTAATAATAATAACATCTCACAAACAACCGTAAGAGGGGGCGTCCTACACGTGTGTGTGTGTGTGTGTGTGTGTGTGTGTGTGATCATTCAGTGGTTTTTTATTGGCCATTGATAGCTGTTGGTTGATTGAAGACTCGGGAGCAGAGGAGGTGGATTAAAAAGCCCGTGGCCGGGGCGCGGCTGCTGGGAGGAGGGGGGCGAGGACGGGCAGGGCTCAGAACCGCACGAAGGTGGCATCGATCTGCCGGATGGTGGGGAGGGCCAGCATGATCTTGCGCCGGTACTGGGGGTCCTTCTGTAGAGGGTTGCGCTCCAGGTAAACTGTCTCCAGGTGCTTGGCTCCCTTCAATTCATCCAAGTCACTCCAGCTCTCGATGAGGTTGTCATTCATCTGCGAAGGGCACAGACAGCAGAAAGGTCTGGTTAAAAGGAGCATCCCTGACTCCAGGGAGGCGGGTGCGGATTCAGAGCTTGGTCACTGCACCTCCAGCAGCTGGCCTCAGAGCAGTCCCTCGGAGCTCACGCTGCCTCCCGGCCAGGCGCTGCTGACCCTGGCTGCTGCACACAGGCAGCTCGACAGAAGCCCCCTGCTCACTCGCCCTTGCTCACTTATCCGACTAAGTGACAGGCGTTTCCACACCCAGCATCAGAGGAAGGAAGGGCAAAATCCAAAGTAAAGGCAAATCCACGGAATGCACCTATTTATCAAAGCCTTTTTCTTTCTAAAGCCAGTGGGTCAGGTGTTTTCTAAGCCTACGACACTTAGCCACAAAAAAGAAAAGGCACCCCAGCTACCACCCAGAAGGCCCCAGCTCGCCCTCCCTGTGCTGCAGGGGCCCACGGGAACCCGCCCGCTCAGCCTGGGGATCTCAGGTCCAAGGAAGGAGCCGGAGCCTGCTGGCAAGGACAGCGCTCTCTCGGGGAGGCGCGGGTGTCCAGCTTCCTACCCCAGGGAGCTTCTGATCCTGAAAGCAAGGCAGCGTGGCTCTATCCCCCAGCGAGAGGAGAGAGAAAGGAAAGGGATCAGGAAATGAGAGCCTCTCTAGTGCTTTGCTCGTCTCTACCTTCAACACATCTGGAGCCGGGATGGAATTCTGTGGTATTACCTGGTGCTTACATTAAGGCCCTTGGGGAGGGTGCTGGGAAGGGTCTGAAGGACTCACACAGCGTTTACATCTGGAATCATGATGCCTATATCAATCATAAACAAAAAATTCACTCTTTAAAGTGGGCTTCACCGTCTCTACCGAGCCCCAGTGAATGTGTGGTAAAACAGGTGGCTGGGCCTTCTCCTCGGGAGGAAGCTGGTGAGTGACAAAGGGGTGGCAGGAGTCGAGAGAAAGATGGCCAAGGGCACCATGCTGTCCTCTGCCAAGCCAGTCTTTGTCCCCATAGGATGAGGGCCCCGTGACCTTCAAGGTGTCCCTGCTTTACTAATCGGGAGAGGGAAATGGGGGCAGACTGCCGCCAGACAGGGGCAGGAGGAGAACATTCAAAAGGGCGTGGTGCGCTGCCCACCTGTCCTGGCCTGCAAAAGGCACACCCACATCTCAGGAAGGCTTGGTGAACAAGGAGGACCTGAACCCTGGCCTGGAATGGAAGGAGGGACTTTCTAAGCTCACAACCATCCCCACACGTCAATGCCGAGTTCATATCAACCTGAGCTGGGACAGGGGGCTTGGGCCGAGGAATACCCCTTGATTTCAACCTTTATTCAACAGGTTGCTATTTCTAGCTGGCGGTCCATCCAAGGACCCCAAACGTTCCTGGCCTGACTGCAGGGCAGGTACCTCCCATGCTGGGCCTGGCAGCTGTACCCCTTGGCCCTGTCTGAACAGACGTGGCCCAGAGCTGCTTCCCTGGGTCCGTGGCCCGGGGTCCCTGTGGCACATCTCCGCTGTGACTCTGCCTTCTCCTTGCCCGCACCTCAGCCTGGGCTGATCCCCTGGACTCTGACAGGGTCTGCCTGGATACCCTCCTTGGGGGTCCCTCCCAAGACTCTGGCCTTGGCCTCCCGCTTGGCTTCTCTGCTCCCTGGCCCCTTCCCCAAGGGTCCTGGATGATCAGTGAAGATTCTTTTGGTCTACACAGCCTCCCTGGGGCCCTGACCTGGCTGCCTGAGTCCCAGAACCAACAATAAGGAAGCATGTTTCAAGGATGGAGGAAAGAAAAGGGCCGGTTCTTCATTCCCACAGAGCAGAAGTCGGCTGGCTCAGCATCGTCCCCTGAGACGAAGGAGCAGACACGTCCTAGGGGACGGAAGCAGCCTCCCCAACCCGTTCTGCATTGCTGGTGAAGACCAGGAGTGTTTAAATCCTTCTGAGATACTGGAGTGGTGCTCTCGAACACAGCTGGCTGGAAATCCCCTTTTTAGCTAGCGTGGCCCCTGACTCCAAGGGGATCTGGCCTGCAGACTCCCTGCCCCCAGCAAGAGCTAACATGGACCCTGGATTTGCACCCTTACGCAACACAAACAAGGATTCTAGGTGCGGCTTCCACTCACCCAGAACTCCTGCAATTCTGTTAGGTGGCTGATGTTTTCAATCTTTTTGATTCTGTTTGATGCAATGTCCAGCATTGTGAGTTTGTTCTGAAACAAAGAGGGAACATTTCAGTGCTGCATCGGAGGGGGTGCTGGTTCTCGGCGGCAGGGCAGGAGGGTGTGAGCTGTGGAAGCAGCAGAGTTGGGCTCCAGGGGCACAGCCCCGCTCTCAGATGGTTTAACAAGGGTGTGTGGGGGGACCTGGGACTTGTGCTAGCAGAGGGAGGCCATGTGGACACGAGCCACAGACCACTGAGGTCCTGAGGTTTGAACTCTTGGCTGGGGAAGTCTAGAACAGAGGAAGCGTCCTGAGCAGAGACCACAGCGCCCCTCCACAGAGGCAGGCTCCCACCAGCCTTCCCAAGGTGGCACAGCTGTAAGCTTGAACGCCAACGAAAAAGGACCACTGAGGAAAGAAGTTCTCATGCGCACACACACATCCAGTAAAGAGGAGTTGTGTTGATCTTGTTGGCTCACTTCCCAGACTTCAGAGTCAAAGCTATTTTAAGCTGGCCAGCAGCCACCAAAGAAATTTCTGTATACATACCTACATACATATATATATATATATATATATATATATATGTGTGTGTGTGTGTGTATACAAATATGTATACACACGTGTGTACATATGTATATAAGTATATATGTTCCTGCTATTTCTAGTTAAGGATTCCCTTCTGCTGTACTCCAAAGTGCTCCCCCAAAGTTCTCCTGAGTCTTGAGGTAAACTTAAGAAAATCTCAACCTATAAATACCCAGCCTGCCACTGGGCTGTCCCCCAAGGGACGCCTGTGTTCACCGGTCAGAAGCTGTCTCCATCTGCACCGCCCAACGCGGTCTGATTCCAGTCTGGGAGCAGGCCCCACTGGGATTATCGTTCCCACTTTACAGATGAGGAAGCCAAGGGAAAGCCCAGAGAAGCAGGGGCTTTGCAGGCTCCCAGGCAGGGTCTGGACCGGTCTCTGGTGACCGAGGTCCAATAAGCCCCAAGTTACCCAAGTGGCTCACCGCATGAGAGAGGAGCAGCAGCCTTTCTCCTTGTAGTCCTGCTGCTCAGAGGACTCGAGAGCTAGAAGTGACTCCATGTTATGAAGAGACAGCTGCCCACATCGCCCTGGGAGCTGGCAGGAAACCTCGTTTCCTGCCCCTGGCCACAGACGGTTACCCCCCCACCCCTGGGCTGGCGGTCTTCCTCACGATGACAGCAACAGCGGCCCGCCCTGATCCAGTTAGAGATGTCACAGCTGCAAAGGGCTTTATCCTCACAACCTGGAAGGTGGGCTCTCTTTTCAGCTCCATTTTACAGTGAGGAAACTGAGTCTGGGGAGGTACTGGGTGACTCGCCCAGGGTTACAGCGTAATGCTTGGAGGCACTTCAAGAGCAGCAATTTTGCTTGCTCTGGGCTTGTCCTGGGGCTCGGCCAGTGGCTGGCTGTGACGAGATCCTTTCTACTATTCCTTCAAGTTCTGAGTCTGGGGCCTGGGGCCACCACTCTGGAGAGAGCAGCTGCAGCAGAACATGAGCTTGGAAGCAAGGGCTTTGTCAGGGGTCAAGAAGGGAGGCAGAGGATGTCAGAGAGGTGCCTCGCGCAGACGCCTTCTCGAGGAGCTTTGTGACAAGGGGCAGAAGAGATACTGGACAATGGTTAGCAGGGCTGGAGGGGACTTTCTGGCAGGGGAGACACGGGTGTGTCTGTGGGTGGTAGGGAGCAGCCAGGAGAGAGGGAGAGATAAGTCACACAGAGGGGATGATGGGAAAGGGGTGGGAAAAGGAGAGGGATCTGCCTGAGGAGATGGGATGGAAGGGGATCCCTGGAACAGTGGAGGGGAGGCCTCGGGGAGGAATGAGCCTGCCTCATCGTGTGAGATGGGGGAGGAGGAGAGAGGGGCTGATGGGGGGCTTGTGGTGAGAGATGAGAGGAGGGAGCAGAGTGAGGCTGTGCAACACAGATGTGTGGTAGGGCCAGGGGGAGGAGCCGCTCACCTTTCCAGAGGCTTTGGGGGGTGGCAGCGGGAAGGCTGACTGAGGGGACCACAGGCACATAGCCGGGAAGGGGGCTGAGCCCCGAGATCTGAGCCTGATGCTCTTTTATTTCCATTTTTATGCGGCTTTATGTGGCTTCTCCACTTCTGGCTCTGAGTGCGAGAGAGCTTCTCATCCATAAGAAGGGTGCTGGTGATGCTGGCCCTGTCTCACATGCAGGGTTGCTGGAAGAAAGCCCTGTGTGGATCTCACAGAAAACGGAGGCATTAGCACGCAGGCCACCACTGGACCAAGACCACTGGTGTCTCACAGACTGCACAGGTCCTGGTCTCCACTGGACCCAGGGTTCTGGGGGAGTGGGGATCGTTTCATCCTTCGTCTCTCCAGCACCAAGCACGAGCCTGGCCTGCCAAACGCACTCAATAGATGTCTGTTGACGTGGGGGCTGCTCAGGTCAGGATGGAAGGACACAGAATGCTCTTCCGCCCTAGAGTCAAGTCCATTTTCAGGATCAAGTGTGATCCTCTCGTTTTTCGGTGGGAAATCGGCTGAATTTCAGCGACCAGTTGGATGGGAGGATCCTCACTCCAGGCCGAGTCGTCGTGTCCAGATTATGCCAGCAGCACCCCTGCGGGCCTCCCTGTTTCCCTTACCTCTCCTGCACAACATTACCAGACTACTCTTAAGGCAATGCTTTGAGCAGGTCGTGGGGCCGCTCTGACCCTGCCCCGCTGAGTCGGGCATTCTCCCTCCCGGGGCACACACTTACGTTGTTCTCTAAGCCCTCGATGACCTCGATGCCGTTGTGGCTGAGGTAGAGCTCCCGAAGGTTCACCAGGCTCTGGAGGCCTTCGATTTTGGTCAGCCGGTTGCTCTGCAATTGGAGAAGGGAAGGGCCAGCCAACAGTCAGTTTCCAGACCTCAAACTACCACCACACCACACTCACCCGTGCATCTTAAATCTAATGTACTCTCTGGGGACATTTTAAGTTCTGAACTGTCTCCCTCCCTCCCGACCCTGCACTAGAGGAGGACACCGCTGAACACAGATATGCTCTCGCTCTCTCTCCATACACACACACCCACACACATCTTTGTGTACAGCCACACTATGCACACTTCTGTTCATCTGTTCTTTCTCTGCAGGTGGGCAGCATTTTCTTTCACAGTTCTTTACCGTTGATTTGGGTATTTATGGTACTCAGAACAACTTGGCTGTTCAGCTACTCGTGAACGATGTTGCTTTCACCGTGTACAACGTTCTCTTGGTTCTGCTCACTTCACTATTCATTATTTCATACGAGTCTTTCCTCATTTTTCAGAGTGCAGTAGCACCCATCACAATCACGTAACACAACTTATTCAGCCCTTCCCCAGTTCCTGGGCATCTCCTGTTTCCAGGTCTTTGCCACCACAGAGGGAACCGCCATAAATATTTTAGACTATATCGCTTCTTCTTCTTTTTCCCTGATCCCCTTGGGAACCAGACCCCATAGCGGCATTGCTGGGTCAAAGTGTAGACACGGTTTTATAACTCTTTGGGCATACTTCCAGATCACTCTCCAAAATGGTTGGATCAGTTCACAACTCCACCAACAGTGTATTAATGTCCCAATTTTGCCCACACCCCCTCCAACATCTGTCAGTTTCCCCTTCTATTATTTTCACTAATCTGATAGGTGTGAGATGATATCTCAAAGTTGTTTTAATGTGCACCTCTCTAATCAATAATGATTCTGAACGTTTTTTAGATGACTATCCCCTTCTATTATTTTCACTAATCTGATAGGTGTGAGATGATATCTCAAAGTTGTTTTAATGTGCACCTCTCTAATCAATAATGATTCTGAACGTTTTTTAGATGACTAAAGATAACTTTGATTTCTTCACTGAAAGACTGCCTGTTCATATCCTTTGGCCATTTATCAATTGGGGAATGGGTCATATGCTTGTACATTTGACAAAGTTCTCTATATATTTGATATTTGGGACCTTTACCTGAGAAACTGCCTACACAATCACTCCCCACCCCCCCAATTTTCTGCTTTCCTTCCAATCTTGGCTATGTTGGTTTTATTTGTACAAACCCTTTAAAAATTTAACATAATCAAAATGATCCATTTGACAGCTCACAAGACTATCTCTTCTTTTTCACGAGTTGTTCTCCTGTCCATAAGTCTGAGAGGTAATGTGTTCCACATTCTTCCAATTCACTCAATGATGTCTCCTTTTACATCTAGGTCATGTATGCATTTAAATGGGGCAAGATATTGGTCTATACTGAATTTCTATTTTCCAGTTTTCCCAATAATTTTTTTTGGAGGGAGAGGCAATTGGGGTTAAATGACTTGCTCAGGATCACACAGCTAGCTAGTGTCTGAAGCCACAGTTGAACTTGGGTCCTCCTGACTCCCGGTCCAGTGCTCTAACTACTGTGCCACCTAGCTGCTCTTAATAATTTTTACCAAATGGCAAATTCTTATCCCACAAGTTTAAATCTTTGCATTTGCCAAACACAAGGTTACTATAATAATCTCCAACTATGTATAAAGAAGCAGCCATCAAAACCATCTGGTATTGGTTAAAAATAGAAAAGGAGATCCATAGGAGAATTAGAAGCTACGGAATTCAATAACCCAGCATTTGATAAACCAGAAAACGTTAGTTACTTAGGAAAAACCTTCCTATTTGATAAAAACTGCTGGAAAAACTGGAAAGAAGTCTGGCATTAATTAGGATTAGCCCAATACCTTATACCACATTCCACAACACATTCTAAATGGATGTGTGACCTGGATATTAAAGGTTAGACTAAAAGATGGAAAGAGAAGGCCTCTCAAGGCTCTGGAGAAGTGACTGACAGATTCTTAACCAAAGAAGGGAAAGAAGCAATTACAGAAGATATTGACGAAATTGAAACACTTCTGCACAAACAAAATTAGTGCACCTAGGATAAGAAAAAAAGCATCTGAATGGGACAAAAAAAATCTTCATGTCACATTTCCCAATACAGGTTTGTATTCAGGATATCTAAAGAATTTTATTTATTTATTCACACACACACATACACATATCGTATGGATGTGTATATCTCCAAAAGCCATTCCCCAAATGCTCCACATCATGAATAATAAAGGAAATACAAATCAAAACGATGCTAGTTTCATCTCATGCCCTGCAAATGAGTAAAGATAAATGCTGGGAATGGTCAGTGCGGGACAGGCTGTGTTGGTGGGCCTCATCTGGCTTTGCTGGAGGAGCTATGAATCACCACAACCATTCTGGAAGGCAATTAAGAATCATGGAGATAAAATGATTAAAATATTCATCCTCTTTGACCCAAAGATACGAGGCTCACACCCTAAGTAGGCCACTGACAAGATGAGAGTCCTCCAGTAAACCAAAATATTCGGGAAGCAAAGAATCGGAAATCACGCTGATGCCACGTGCTGGGGAATGGCTCCACGAGTGCGGCTCATGAATGGAATGGAACATCAGTGCATCGCCACTGAGGGCAAACATGATGACTCCAGAGGAATGCATGGAGAAACCTCCAGGACCGGTGCAGCATGAAGTGGGCAGAGTCCCAGTGACCCCAAGCCCATCAATGGGCAGAACCACCGCCACAGAAATCAGCATGAGGGTGGCACCATCACGGAGAACAAGCCTGGCTCCCAGAGTGCGGCCAGCGCATCTAACTGTGGACTCTCCTTTTGCTTTTTGTCCTTCAGAAGTATTACCTGTTGCACTGAAGGGCTCTTTGGAAGGGAGCGTTACCAGGGAAAGCAAGGTGATGCCTAAAAACCCCCGACATCAAGAAAAACTTACTAAAACATAGTTATTTAAAATACATAAGGAATTTGTCATGAAAAAAACAGAAAACAGCTCAGGGTCGCCAACCGCAGCTAAAGGCAGTCTAACTCATGGCTGCAGAGGCAACATGCACTGAAGCCCCCTGGCTAAAGAGCTGGCCAGGACTTACAACTGTGGCTTCTGATGTCCGGGGCACCCAGGGCACCCAAAGGAGCCAGGGTGGGCCCTCAGTGGCTCCCCATAACTGGGAGGACCACTCCCCAAGGCCAGGGTGGTGGGAAGGAGCTGCCCTCTAGGGGGCAAGCCACAGCCTCCTGGCTCCTTTCCTAGCCTGTCAAATGACAGCTCTGAGGTCCCTTTTAGCCACAGAGTGATGACCCCAACAACTCCACGTAGGGTCCTCAAGGGTCCTCAGGGGGCAGAGAAGAATGGTTCATAACCAGCATACCGCTGGCATACGAGTTACTCTCACGTAATTTAAGTATTTTTCCTATGATCTTATTCACCTTGATTGATCTGCAAAGGGCCTCCCATTCCCTCCCTCTCCCGCAGAAGTGAACTGAAGGAGGTTTCGGGTCCTCCCACAAGCGCAGAAGCAGCTCATGCTACGACCACATTAGCACAGGTGAATCTAGTTTATATAACGTCTGGCAGGGTAGACGGCACCTTTTCTCATAACAGTCCTGGGAATGGACAGACTTGCTTGGTACCTTGTACACAGTGAGTACCTGACCTAGCTTTTTAAAAAAAGAGAAGTTGGGCATGACTTTAGGAGGAGGACAGCGGCTGCAGAGTAAATGGCACAGACGGGCCAAGCGTCAGACGCAAACGAGCAAGGACGGAAGAAGAGCCGCCGCTCCCGCCCCTCCCGCGCCCTACCTGCATGCTAAGCACTGTGAGGTTGCTGAGGGCGTCCAGATTCTGCAGCTTGGTTATCTTATTCTTCCCCAAGAACAAGCTGTCGAGGTTGGTCAAGCTGTCGATGTTCTCGATGGCCTGTGGAGGGGACACAAGGAGCTGGCTGCTGGCTCCTCCAGCTCCAGGCCTAGCTAGCCACGGGGCCCCACGAGGGATCGGCCGGTAAGCCTCAGTCTCTCCCTTGAAAAGTGTGAAAGGGCAGAGCGGGGCTTCTTCACCGGCTTGTGGCATGCATCCCTTCTCAAAAGAGAGGCCTTTAAATCACAGGGTTACAAAGGAAACTAATCAGAGTGAAAAATAAAGATGTCATTTTTCCTCATCCAAAGTCCTGGACCCCCTAAAAAATCCATCCCCTCCCCCCAAGACCTCGTGTGAAGGACTCCTGATCTGATCCCTCTTATAGATGAGCAAATGAAGGCCCACCCAGGGGAGTGACTTCTTCAGCATTACACAGGGATATGCAGCCAAGCCGGGATCGGAACCCGGGCCCCAGGACTCCCAATTCAGTGCTCCTTTCTAGACAATGCCAGGTTGTCTTTTAAAAAAAAACAGAAAGTACTCCCTAAGGATGAAGGATGAGCACAGGCGTGGAGAGCTGGAAGCAGAGCGAGGACCAGAGCTGGGCATGGTAGGCCCAGAATGTGGCTGGCTACTGGACTGACCAGACCCATTACTCTTTCTCAGTATGTCAGGAGATAATCAATTATGAGTAAGCATCTCCAAGAAGAGGGTGTGAGACAGAGGCTTCAGAGAGGGGAATGAATAATGTAGAAGCCCAAGCTGCTTCCTGTCCTGAGCCTCTGACCCAGGCCTGGAGGGAGTGGGGGTCTCCCATCCTCCACACAGCAGGACAGCTGGGCATGAGGGACAGGCAAGGCAAAGGCCTAGAGGCAGTAGATGGAACACCCAGGTAGACCGGGGGCTCTACTGGTGAGGGCGTAGAGGGGAGTGACCCTCCAGAGAGATCATGAGCAGCTCACCCCCCACTACAGAAGGCAGGTGGGGCCTCATTCTAGAGAGCTCTGTGTGTGTGTGTGTGTGTGTGTGTGTGTGTGTGTGTGTGTGATTACAACTAAAAGGGACCGAGAAATGAATCGAGAAAACCACACGCTTCGGGAACACAGACTCCTTCCTGGACTTCTCAGGGTTTTCTTGGGCTCTTGGTCATGGAACAGAAACCCCACAACCTCCCTGGGACATCTGCCCCCTCCCTCCCAATGCCACGTCCAGCCCTGCCCAAGCCTCCTGTCACCACCTGGGGCCCCCAGGCCAGCTCGGCCGCTCCTGCCCGTCACTACCCCTGGCATGAGGCGCCTCCCTCTGCAGATGACCAGGCGGCACCTACCCGGATTCGATTTGATCCAAGTTCTAACATCTTTAATTGCTGGAGGTTACTTATGTTTTCAATTTTGTTGATTTTATTGTTGACCAGGAAAAGTTTCTTCAGCTGGGTAAGCTGATCTATCCCTTCAATGTTTCGTAGAAGATTAAAAGAAATATCTAAAGTCCTGGTACCAAAAAAAAAAAAAGAGATGAAAAAATGTTACTCTTATTTTAACAGCAAAGGCCTCCTCAATTTAGAGAAACAGGACGAAAGCTCTATGTGGGAAGGACCCAGCTCCCCAAGACAGACACGGCTCATTCTCCTGCTCATTCTTGCTGCCAACAGGAAGCCCCAGAACCCCGAGCTTCTGCCAGCTTTCCCCTGGTTTTCACATCATACCTAAATCCATCCCAGCAACCAGGCCTGACTCAGCCTCCTGAACAAAGGACTCACATTCATGCCGCCCATGCTCCTCCCCCAGGGCGTCCTCGGGCCTCCCTGAAGGCAGCACCAGGAATGGGCTGGCTTCTAGGGCGTGGCCTGCTTGGGCTGCTGCCTGTGACCAGCAGAGCTCAGTGGGCAGAGGCTGCCACCACAACGGGACGGTTGGCAAGGCCATCCATTAGGGGTGGGGGCTTTACAACCTGGGCTGATGAAGAATCCCTTTAGCAAGCAACACTACTAAAAAGCTACCTCTTGAGGGCCTGAAGCCGCGGTGCTCCCCCTCACAAGGCTGGCAGCAGGGTAGCCCCCCATGGCCCTCCCTGCCCCGGGGCAGCCCCTCCTCGAACTCACTCGAGGTCCTTCAGTGCCTCCAGGTTCTCAATCTTTTTGATCTGGTTGTCATAGAGGTCCAGCTCTCGAAGGCTCTGTAGCTCTTCCAGATTCTCAATACACTTAATGAGGTTCTGACGGAGGCAGAGGGTCTGGAGGGGCACAAAGTGAAAGACGGTGGTCAGGAGGGTTACCTGTGAAGAAAGGGAGCCCAGACTAGGTCTGCCTGCAGGATGCTGGCATTTCTCCCTCCTTCCTTTTTTTGCCCAGAATCAAAGGCAAACATGGGCACCTCTCACAGGACGGCCCTGCCTCCCTCAATGAACTCTGCCTGCACTGACTCCTCAGTGCTGAACGCCCCCCTCCCCCTTCCTTCCCCGTCCCAGTGACTCAGGACCCTCAGCTGTTACTGTACAAAGCTTGTGCCCAGGCTGCCCTGCTCTTCCTCACGGCCTGCCGCTCCCACTGGGCTCTCCTGAGAACAAGCGGGCTTTCATCTGCCCCTTCCTCCTCCCACTCCTGAAGACGTGGCCTCCTCGGCCAGCCGCCCCCGCTACTCTGAGGCGCACTTTGATTCAGGGCCCTTCACTGCCTGGGGTCAGGGGCCAGTGGGTCCTCGAGGCCACTTCCAGGCTCTCCCTCTGCCACGACCCCTCCTTGTCTCTTTTCAAACTCCTGCCCTTGTAGTAGTGGACTTCAATCTGCCTGATGGCGATCTCTCAGAGTCCAGCTTCCTGCTTCTTCACTCTCCGAGGCTGCCATGACCTACTTCTTCAGCCCAGCTCAGCCACAGACCGGCCAAGCCAGAGCTCCACGTTTTGTTTGTGAACGCTGACATGCCTCTATCTGACCATGACATTTCATCACGCCGTCCTTCCCTCTGCCTGGGCCCTAACCATCTTCTAGGTCCTCATGGGATCTCCATTACTTTGCAACCTCTCAGTTCTTTCCCAGGCCATCGACCTATGCCCCAACAGGTTCATTTCAACTGAAACTGCTCTCTCCAAAGTCACCAGTGATCTCCTACCTGCCAAATCTCGCGGCCTTTTCCCAACCCTCTCTCTGGGTCTGACACTGCTGACGACCCTCTTCGCTCACAACTCTGCTTTCTGCTGATTCTCTCCTTTGCTCAACTGTCTGTCAGCCCAAGGCTCAGTGACGGGTCCTCTCTCGTCTCTAGATTATTGCTGGGTATTGTCATAACTGCCCAGGTTCAATGACCATGGCTGGGAAGACGACCATTTAGCATCGCCCGCTGCCTCTAGGATGACTCTGACTGGATGACCCAAGGGCATCTTACACTAGGCATGCTCAAAACTGACCTCATGACCTCCCCCAAATCTCCCCCCTCCTGACTTTCCTCTGACTGCTGAGGGCACCACCTTCCTCCCAGGCACCCAGACTCGCCCCACCCCCCAGCATCACTCTTGACCCCCAGATCTCGTCTGTAGCCATGCTCTGTGTTTCCACCGTGTCCGCATCTCCACTCCCACAGCCACTGGCCTGGTACAGGTCCTCATTGCCTCCCGCTTGGCTCTCTCTCCCTCAAATCTCTCCCCCATCCTAGGCCCCCCTCTGCTTGGCTAAGGTGTGACTGGGTCACCCTCTCCACCCTTATTCAGTGAGGGCCAGGGCTCCCAGCATCAGAGAGAAAGTCCCGGGCTTAGCACAGGGAGCCCTGCACGTCCCGGCCTCCTGCTCTGCCAGCGGCCTTCAGCCCATGCCCCTGCAGTGCAGCCACACCAACCTCTTCGACATCGAGCCTCACTGAGGGCCCCTTTCCTGGTCCCTGCCCCACGGCCAGGGCCCTTCTTCTGAAACACACTGCCCTTCCACGGCAGCTCTCTGGCGTGGACGGTTGCTTGCATGTTGCCTTCCCAGAAGAACAAGAGATCTTGATGGCAGGGCCCAGATTTTTGCCTCGCATTGTATTCCCAGCGCCTACTGCAGTGCCTGGCACTGTCTGTCTCTGGGGTCCCCTCCCCTCCCTGCTCTCTTCTCATCCCCTTCCCATGTATCTGATCACTCCTTCTTCTGAGTCTCCTTTGCTGACATTTCCCCCACTCGGCCACTGGACTGCAGGCCTCGCTGTGTCCCCCTGCCCACTGATGCAGATGAGCTCCAGAGGGCCAAATATAAAATCTGGCACTTGGTGTTCAAAGCCCTTCATGGCCCTCCCATCTTCCCAGTCCTCTCCTACCCCAGCCCCCAACATGCCCTCTTTGTCCAGCGGCACTGGCCTCGTGGCCCTTCCACAAACACCTCCCCCCAATCTCTCAGCTCCAGGCCTTCCTCCTGGCTGTCTCCTTCCTCTGCTCTGCCTCCTGGCTTCCCTGTGGGCCAAGCCAAAATCTATCTTTCTCCAAGAAACCTCTGTCATCTCCCTTAATTCTAGTGCCTTCCCTCTCTTGATTATCTCCAATAAATCCCACCCTTGTTGACCCTCACGGTTCAATTAATTTAATTTTTATTGTGAGGAAAACACTTAAGAAGCCTTGAAGAACGACACCAAGATAAGTTATTTGGCTGGCATTTCGGCCCAATCCCTTGTTAAGGGAGAGAATTTCGAAGGAAGCCTCTAAGTGAACGAGCGGCCCAAGGCTCGTGTTCTGTGTCCTGTCAAACGGGAAGAAGCCTTGCGGGAGTTGAGGGCTGAGGGTGAAGTCTGAGGGACGCTCAAGCACCTGTAGAGTCTGAGCGAAGCTTTCATTCAGGGCAGGCTCTTTTCTGGTCTAAACTGGAAGGAACTGACCACACTGGAGTGGACAGACTGGGGCGTCTTAGGCCCAGGGGCTCTGAGCAGTTTTCTGCTTTAGGTGAGAAAGGCCAGAGCCCTGGGCTGGGCACCCCAACCCCACACACCTCCCCCATCACCTCAACTGTGGTGTTTGGTGCAATAAAAGAAGGGACGGGCCAAGAACTTGTAGACACTGGACGGGACCAAGCAGTGGCCAGGTTCCTCATCTCCAGAACCCGCCACTGTGGCCGCCATGCAAGGAGAACACAATCAAGGCCTATCGCTCCAAATGATCCAGAATCGGACTCACCTTCACTTTCTTCAGGACTTCGAACCCTTCAATTTTCCCAATTCGATAATGATTTAGATCAACATCCTGAACACAGAGAAGAAATCGAGTTAGCTTTGCGGACCTGTCTGGACGTCCGCTGCCCAGAACAGGCCACAGGAGAAGCTGCCTGAGGAGAGGGGGTGCCTGGGGACAGCGCGGTCATGTCTTGAACAATTAGAGCAAAAACAGAACACGCCCCATTTCACTGCCACTGAAGACTATCTGCTTCACTGGGCTTTACAAACTGCGATGCGTGGGCACACATCTACGTATTCTCTATGTACACATACAAATAACGGCCACGTGGATGCATGTACACAGGAAGACATGAACAAATGCATGCGGCTGTGTATCTCGAGCAGAAAACCGCAGCAGACGGGAAACATGAGCCAGCACTTGCAGAGGAGAGGATGCATGCCTTGAACCACACTGTCTGGACCCTTCACCAAAGAGCAGCTCCAAAGGATGCCTGAGCCATTTTCTTGTTTTTCAAAATCCTATAACTTCCAAAACTGGTTATTAGGCAAGAGAAAAGATTCCACAGCCTTGGCCAGTTTGTTTGTTTTTTTTTTTGGGGGGGTTAGGCAATGGGGTTAAGTGACTTGCCCAGGGTCACACAGCTTGTAAATGTTATGTCTCTGAGGCCAGATTTGAACTCGGGTACTCCTGAATCCAGGGCCGGTTCTCTATCCACTACGCCATCTAGCTGCCCCTCAGCCTTGGCAGTTTTAAAGGTGCTCTGGACTGCCTGGACTTCTGAGGAAGACATCTGGATACACAGATACACCTTGGACCCTTCTGCTGTGTGCAATTCACTGGCCTCAGGTTTAAATAGCATTACACTGTTTCTGGATCTCCAGTAGTTGAAAATGGGTTCAATGACTGGAACTGAAAACATAAGAGAGCTACACCAGCCAAGAAGCCTCAGAAGGCCCGCTGGGCACCCATGCCACCTTGCCCCGTTGGGCACTGCCCCTCCCCCTCCCCCTCCCTAGCCCCATATGTCTACACCCCTACACGTCACCTCGGCATCTTCATCCAAGTGAACGGTCTCCATGTCCACGGGCAGCTCAGAGTCTTCTACAAAAAGACCAGAATGTACCATCAAAGTCTTGCTGTGGGTGGGGACGCACGAGGAGGCAAGGGCTGAAGGCAGCAACCCTGTCTTCTCCTCCTTTGTGTCTCCCCCCAGTGCCTAGCACAGTGCTCTGTACACAGCAGGTGCTGAAAAAAGCTGCTAGAACATGGAAGCTGCTTCTTCTGTTCTATTCTGTCTAGGGGACTGGTCTTTTATGTTCAGCATTCATCCAATCCAGAATAAAAACAAGTAAACAACGGCATAGTTGGACTGTTTGTGGTAGTAAGAGAAACGCCATTAACACCACTCCCACCCCCAGGAGAAGGACTTGACTCTTGGGGCTGAGGACAGCCCTCAGGGGCAGGGCTGGCTGGTGGGCTGCTTCCTCCTCTCCACCCTGAAGCCCCCCTCCTCTGAGCAGCATCTCCTGGGAGGAGAGGCAGGACCTATTATCCCACAGGCTCATTCTCTCAGCTCTTCCCTCATTCATGGAAATGAGAATTGGATGGCTTCCCTCGCGCCCATATTGCCTTCCCTTTGGCTTACAGCCACAGCTCGCGCTCTGGGAGCGCGGACCACGCTGAGTTGTCAGATGTTCTGGGATGGGCCTTTTACGGCTCTGGAAAGCTGCCTGCCTCTACCCGGAACAAAACAAGGTGAGCCGCTCCAGAACACGAGGGACCCCAAAGCCCTGCTGGGAGCACCATTCCCATTCAGGGGTGTGCTCATTCCACCCGGAAGCCCGTGCTGAAGCCCACAGAACCTGCTTCTGCTTTCTCCCTTGGCGTCCATCCTGCCGGACCCCGAGAGCCTGCGCTTCCCTGCCCGGGACGGCGTGCCTGGAAAGCCACTTGTCAGCTCTCACGACGAATTTCTCCAGCATCAATTAGAGAGGGAGTCATCAAGTGAACCGAGTGGTTCCTCGCTGTCGGCTGGGATGGGGGCTGAGAATGTTGCCAGGCCCTCGCCTGCACGCCCCAGGGGTGGCTGGGGCCAGCACCAATTGTCAAATTCGTTCTAGTTAATTCCCTTTCTGTGTAATCCTCTGTTTCCCACCACATGTTCGAGTCAGGGATGCACAGGAATGGACAGGAGATGGCCCAGACCCCACGGGCATCCAGGCTAGCCCTGCCCTCCAAGCACTCACTGCATCTTAACTGCGGGAGGCAGAGGGCCCCACCCTGCCCCCCACCTCACTTCTGGAGGCCCACAGCCCCTTCCCCTTTGGGACAGCCCTAAGGGTCAGGACTGAGACTAACACTGCCTCTGTCCTTCCTCCCAGGGCTCCTAGGTCAGTCCTCTAGGCAAGGCCGCACAGAACCAGTCTGGTGCCTCTTCCACAGAAAATGGCTGAAGAGAGCTTCTCACTCCTTGCTCTCTGGGCCACCCTCCCCCACTTCCCTCCATCAACCTTCCCCCACAATGATCTCCAAAGTATGCTGGTAGCCCTCCTCCAGACACTGTCTATAGCGCGATGCCCAGGGCGGGCCCAAGCCCAGTGTGGCCTCTCTTAGGGCAGGGCCCGGACTGCACAAGACACTGGGAAGGGTTGTAGTAACTGTCCTGCCCGATTCCAAGGGTTTCATTCACCTCCCCAAGACAGAAGGCAAGCTGATGCTTAGGACCTCTAGTGGGGGCACTGAGATGAGGACTACCGAGCCCCTACTGTGTACACAGCACTGACCTGAAGCCTGGGGGCGACAGAACCCTCAAGAAAGCTTCTGAAGCTGCCCTCACCGAGGAGAGGGGAAGACACAAACACAGATTAAACTCCATGAGAGAGGTACAAAGCCAAGTGCTCTGTGGAGGCTGAGGAAGAGCAGGAAAGAGCAGGCTTCGGGGAGGCCAGAAACATGACAGACAGTGAGGAGGGTGAAGGAGGGCATCCTGGAGCCCGGCCCTGAGGCCCAGTGGGTCTGAACTTCAGCAGAGAGGCAGCAGGAAAGCGTGGGGGCAGGGGGAGTGCGGAGGAACGCCTGCAGAAGGCCCCAAGAATCCTCAGAAGGATGAGCCCTGTCGGCCCTGGCCTGGACGCAGGCCTTACACAGGGGCGGACGAAGGCTGCCAGGCCACCCTGGGGGCAAGTGGCACAGGCGCTCCTCTCGGGGGCCTTGGTGCAGCCTGCTGGCTGGTCACGGGATGGGTGCTTCTCCTCATGGAGTGCTGCCCGGGGGCCTTCTGCTCGAGGGTCAGGGATTCTAAGGAACCTGATTCTTACTGCAGGGGAAGGCTGACGGGGAGGTGGTCAAGGGACTACTGCAGGGGTCAATGAGGGAAGGGAATGCAGGCATGAGGCAGGGCCCAAACAGAACTGCAGGACATGGCAAGGGCTTGGCCAGTGACTGTCGATGAGAGGTCAGGGATCAGAAGATCCCTGGCTCCAGAACGCAGGAGCCTCTTTCAGTCACTCAAGCCCAGGAGACGGCCAACTGGACTCTGGACCCTCTGAGGGAGGCGTGTGAGTAGAGAGAGCCCGTGGGCGGTTCCAGAGGTCAGAAGGGAGGTCAGAGGATAATGCCATATTTGGGAAAGGAGGCCAATCAATGGCAGAGACCCAAAGATGGGGGAGCAGGAGAAGGACCTCCTGTGGAAGACAAGACACACGTAGGTGTGCGGGATAGGGGTCTTCAAACAGGTGACAGGGCTGTTCTGTGGAATGTAGACTCGGGCTGTAGGGGACTCAGGAGGTCAGGTGGCTGAACTCCCTTATTTTACAGATGGGGAAAGGGAGGCCTACAGAGGTTCCGTGCCCTTCTAAGTTAGGATGGGAACCCAGAGCTTCTGCCTCCACATCTAATGCTCCTTCTGCTGAATGACCACGCTGGCAGAACCCAGGCTGTGAGCTCAGGCCCTCTGACCCAGAGAGGTCAGACTTGCTTGGCTGGGCCTTGGGGGGCAGAATCTGGGGTGAAAAAGAAGCTGATCTAGGCTTGACTGGCCCAGGGGGCCTTGGAAGGGAGAGGGCGTAGACATCCCTCCCAGGAAGCCTTCAAGTAAACACTGGATGGCCATTCCTGGTGGAGACGGGTCAGCCTAACGTGTTGAGACCCAGGGGTTCTGCAGGGCCAGAAAAGGCTAGAGTTGGGGAGGCGGCCTGGGAGATCAGGGAGGGCCAATACAGGGGAAGAAAGCTTGAGATGCCTGTTATGTGCTAAGAACTGGGCCACCAAGCAAAAACGAGACAGCCGGTGCCCATCCATGACCTTCTAATCTACCAGGAGAGACAACACAGACACAGAGAAACAAAACACACACAAGGGGGTCTGAGAGGGCAGGCGCTGGCTGCCAGGAGAAACAGGACTGGCTTCGTGGAGAGAGTGGTGCCTAAGGCAAGGACACTAAGAGGCAGCGGGGAAGAGGGAGGGCACTCCAGGCCTGGGCAACGGCTGAAGCAAAGGCACAGAGAGGGGAGATTGGCATGATAAAGCGTGAGGGAAAGGAGCACATCATGAGGCTGGAGAGGCAGGTCAGGGGCGGATTGTGAAGTGCCACAAAGGCTGGACAGAGGACTCTGTGTTTGATCCTCAAGGTAACGAGAAAAGAGTAGGGATTCGGAAGGCCCGGAGGCCAAGGTCGGAAGATGGTGTAGGGGCCCTACACCGAGTTGGGGGAGGGCTGGACATGTGGGGCCAGTTCAGCGGGCAGCTTGAGCGGAATTTCAGGAGGGCAGGAACCCAGGCAGGTTGTTAGAGCCACGTGGAGGTCCTTGGTCAGCCTACTTATCTTAACGTGTTCTCTAGTTAAAAAACAACGCCCCAGAAATCAGTTCGAGAGAGAAAATCGCCAGATGACTTGCATGACAGATGACTTCTGCAAATGAGAGTAGATGCTGGCTCTGATTTCCAGGAGGACAGGGCTCTGCTTTACTCACCTCTACCATTCCTGCAATGCCTCGCCCAGAGCAGGCCTTCAGTGAGTATTTGGTAAATTGAATACTTAGGCACTCATGATGCTTTACAGCTAAGCAAGACCTCACATCATTCTTTAACTTACACAGATTTTAATGAGACACAAACACCAGAATCAGGACTTGTCCCACCACAAGCCTGAGAAGGCCCTTTGAGTCACCAGCAGCAAGGCTAAATAAATGGCTGGGGGCAATCATGGCCCAGGTTGGTCTAAACCACTGCCCTTGCCCACATAATGTCCCCAAAGGCTAATGACTGATGGCAGAGCAAATCCGACCAGCACCTTCTTAGTAATGGTCCTCTGCTATAGTCATCAGCATACTTAAGAGGAAAGATGAATAATCTGAGGGGTTTTTTTTAAGATTCTAAAAAGAACAAAGAAAACCATGACCGCTGCCTGCAAACGTCCTTTTCTTCCTCTATAACTTCACTTATTTTTGCCACTAAAGTAACTACAGAAATGCAGAAGACGGCTCTATCCTCGTCTGTGTTTCCCACAAAATCGAGGTGACAGCGCCTTCACTTCATTCAGTTTAACAAGGATTATCAGCATTCAAAAATGGCCTCCACAAGAAACCAGATCACTCTGCTGAAAGGGAAGCGGTCATGACTATGACCAAAAATCCAAGTATCAGTGTGTGTCACAGAGTTGAATCTGGGCCTGCCTTCTTGAACAATATTTCATGTGACCTATTTCCCCATCTGCCACAGATACTACACTTCCAATATCAAGGCTGGCCTCTAATGCAATAAGTCTATGCAAGCTGAAACTAGACTGGTCCCTGCAAGGCCAACTAATGCAGCAGCAAGCTAAGAGGGTCTCAAGCGGACCCCAGGAAACCGTCGTGCGGAGATCCGGAGTGACGGCTGGTGAGCCGGCTGACAAGCGTGTGGGCGGTCAGGGACCACAGGAGATGTAGTGCCCCGGCCAGCTGGGTGCGGACCCTGGCTCGGCCCACCACAGCCTGCCCCCCTCTCTCCCCCCCATCCTGGGCTCATACCTTCAGGGTTATCGAGGTTCTGATCGTCTCTCAAGCTCTGCTGACTGAGGTCTGAGACCAAGTCTGCTCCATGTTTCTTTCCCTCTTCATCGCCCGACTCTTCAGACTCAACTCTCCTGTCAACTGCACAAAAACAACAGATAAAATAACAAAACCAAAAGTCACCTGTGGAAACATTATTGCCTGTTTGCAGGACAAGATACAGTAAGATCAATTTTGATTGAGAATATTTTTAACTACTCAGCTCCTGGAAAGGCCTATGCTGCGTCTGACATGAAATAAGACCCACGATGAACAACAGCTAAGAGGGGTCGAAGCCCTTCTCGTACTCCTGCACGTGCTCTGCCCTGACCACCTTCTCATTTTCTGCTAGCCAGGCAAGTGAGGAAGTGTCTGAAGAAACTCCTGCCAGGCCTCCCTCTGCCTACGGGCAGGTGACGGCGTTCCCGACAGCTACAGCTCTTGCCTATGGCATTAAAACTGGCTTCTGACAGTCACCTGTGGACCATTTATAGGTTTATGAAAGCACAGCAATTTGGGACACGTTTTCCCTTTAAGGTCGTGAAAAAAAAACCTCACATTCCCCTTTTGCAATTCTCCTCATGACTCCGCATTTGGAAATTTCTTGAGATTTCAAAGATGGATCCGACAGACTGCAGTGACAAAGCTTCCTAAACCCCACGCTCCCTCAACATATCATCTGTGAACAGATTGCCAGGAAAGGTTTTATTGAGACAGAGAGCCATTTTCCCCGCACCTGGCTCACTGGAGCAATGGCTAACTGCTCACAGAGATAACAGCAGGTGGGCTGGGCACTCAGGAGTCTGCTGCTTTAGAGAGGAGGACTCTGAAATGCCCACAGCCACACGGTCCAGTTCCTCATCCAACTGTCTGGACACTGGGCCCAGACAGCTCTGTCCTTCTCTCCAAGTACACACAGCAGGCCCTTGAGGAAAGTCAGCTCTTTCTGTCCCACAGAACGCTCTTCTTTCTCTCAGACCAGGCCTCCCTGTCTGCACGCTTAGTTGCAAGGATTGCGGTGAAGCGACTCCCTTCCTGGGCCCGTCCTGGCTCCTCTCTTCACCTGGCGAGTCCCAACCTAGCGTTTACAATCCATTTCAAATGCTGCTGCCCTCAGCTGATCCCTGGCCCTACAGCTGTGGGAGGGATCGCACTTTTACAGAATTCATTGGAAGGCCATCAAGCATCTACCATGCCAGGCACTGGAGATATAAAGACAAAAATGAACCAGCTCCTGCTCTTAACCTGTTGCTGTGGGGAGGTATTCTGTGCATACAGAACATGTGCAAAATAAACACAGGGTCATCGGGGAGATGGAGAACACTAATTGTGGGGAAATCAGAGGCTCCCTATAGAAAGATGGTAGAGCTATCAGGGAGCCTGAGGGAAGGGGGCAGGAAGGAGAACAACTGTGGGGGGAGAAGCTCTGAGCTTTTAATTATTTGTATCCCCTACGAGGGCAACTACAAGGTACATTTGGAACATTTTGTGGGGGGTACAAAAAGGGAAGGAGGTGGTAAGGAAGGGCCAAGCAGAGAAAATCTGTTGGTTTCTTTTTTAAGCCATGACATTTCTTGTTAGATCTGAAACACAGTGCAACATGGGGGGCCACTGCCCCCTTCAGGGACGCCTGGGTCCCTTCTCATCCGTCAACTCTGATACGTTACATTTCTTATGTAACTTTCTCAGGCTCCATGCTACAAAATCCCTGCCTACACATGGTTCTGGAGGCACACGGCCTTCCTGAGTGCCTGCACACCCCCCGGGCATTTGGATGCCCACTCAAACACATGCTCAGTCCTTGATATTTCCTCCGGGGGTCTTTCTTCATCCACTGATCAATCACAGAATGTTAGCCCCCTTGGGAGAAGGAAAGTGAGGCCCAAAGGAGTCACTCGGCTCCTGAGGCTGGCTTCTGGATTCAGAGCACTCTGTCCACTGGGGCCTCACACAACGTCCGTGTTGGAAAGGTCACCCTCCTTATCTGGGAAATGAGGAAGCCCGGGCAGGAAGGGGTCACACGACTGGCCCCAGACCCCTGACCCTAGGTCTTAGGCCTCCCGATCTGGCGGCCTTGCCATCGGAGATCTCATTGCCTCCAGATTTTCTCCTCTCTTCTCTACACCCCGACCCGTGAGTCTGGACCCCAGGCTTCTCTCATGCCTCTTACGGCTTTCTTGTCTCCTCTGGTGCCCATCCCTGAGTCTTGCCGGGTGAGACTTAGTCTCTCAGTCTGAAGACCTGGGACCAGGCACCAACGCCAGGGCTGCCCCTCTTACTACCCATGGGACTTGGGGCGCACTACCTAATTCCTTCTTAGAGCCTCGGTTTACTCATCCATGAGAAGGGAGGGTTCCACCCTCTTTTCCTATCAGTGATTCAATGCAATGCAACCATGAAGCACCTACTGTGTGCGAGGCCTCCCACCCTCTCCAGACTCATCTCACGTTATTCCCCTTTGGGAATTCTGCATTCCGACCCAACTGGCCTGGGTCGAGCTCCCCAAATCCGCAATCCTGTCCCACCTCCGCGCCTCTGCTCCGGCCGCAGCCCCCGCCAGGAACGCCCGCCCCCCATCGATCGATCGATCGATCAATCAATCATCATCGCTTCCTCCGGGGAGCCCTCCCCCAGGGAAGGGGGCGCGATTCTGAACCCCATTCCCTCCAGGTCCTGAGCTTGCTGGGGGCTGTCTCGGTTTCTCCATCTGTAATGCGGGCAGGTGAGATTGGCTGCCTCCGATCCCCACTAGCATGCCCCTACCTCAGTTTCCCCGTCTGCATGGTCCCGCCCCCGCGCAGCGCGCTCCAGGATGCCTCAGTTTCCCCATCCGTAAGGGGCACGCGGCGCTGGGCCTAGGCCCGGGCCGCTGCAGGGCGGGCTCGACCCACGCGCGCCTCGGGGGAGGTAAGGGGCCCGCCCCGCCCCCGCCGCCCCGGGCCACCTCCCCCGCAGGGACCCGCTCACCCTCCATCATCTCCTGCGGCGGCTGCTGCAGCCCCGCGCCGCCCCCCGACGCCATGTTGGTGGCTCTTCCCTTTTCCGGAAGCTGTCGCCACAGCCCTCAGCCAATCAGGGAGTCGGATTTGGCCGCCGGCAGGCCAATCAGCTCCGCCGCGGCCGAACCCCGGAGTGGCGTCCGATGCGCATGTGCAGCGCCTAGAGCCGCTTGGGAGTTGTAGTTCCTAAGGGAAAGTTGTGACAGCTGGAGGGGGAGGGCGGGAGGAAAGGAAGAGGAGGGAAGGACGGAAAGGAAGAAGGAAAAGGGAAAAAGGGAAAGGAGGAGGTGAAAGGGAAGGAAGAGGGCCGATGAGCGGGGAGGGGCTGGGAACTGCGTCCAGAACAGGAAGAGGACGAGGATGCTGATGTGGCCTCGGCAGGAGGCAGCCGGCTCCGCGGCGCAGTCCGTGCAATGGTCGGGTGCTTCCTCCTGGCATCCTCTGCGGTGCCCCCGGGACTCCTGGCTCAGCCCTCTGCGCTCGGCCAACACGTCCGATGCCTCCTGCGTCTGTCCCTTCCAACGCGCATTCACGCCTCTCCTCCGCGGCTGCTTTCTCCGAGGCTTAAGCAGCCCTGTTTTCAGGAGGAGGAGGGAGATGTAACGATTTCTCTTTGGAGTGTTCACAGATAATCCAGGAAATCCCGAAATGTACTGGCTTCCGGGCCCTCTCCATCCCTAAGGAGGCGGAGCCATTGAGTAGGTCCACACTTCTCTGGCGGCCTCTCAAGACAGGAGTATTGGAGTGTCAAGAAGGGTCAGGGTTCTGCTGTGTTTTGAGGTGAAGTCCAGGGTCTCCTCTTGGCTCCTCCCTTCCGTGGGAACTATTTGGGGGCAGGAACCTTCTTTTCCTTTCTTTGTTTCTTTCTTCCTCCCCCTCCTCCTCCTCCTCCCCTTCAGAGCCCAACATAGAATAGGCACTTCATTGAATTCAGTATAATTGAACTGGCTTTTCTTTGGTGTTCAAAGTCCTTCCTGATCTAGCCCCCCCCCTCCCTTTCCAGTCTTACTACACCTTACACCCCCACCCCACCCCAGTCTGGTGGCATTGGCCTTCTTGCTGTCTCACAAACAAGACCCGCGCCATCTCTTGGCTGTAGACCTTTTTCACTGGCCGTCCCCACCACGCCTGGAAGGCTCTCCTCCTCACTACACCTTCTGCCTTCCTGGCTTCCTTCAAGTCCCAGCTGAAAGTCCACCTTCTACAGGAAGCCTCACGGATCTTCTTCATTTGATGGGTGATTATCTCTAACTTATTCCGTCTACAGCTCGTTTGTGTGTTTTCTCCCGAATTAGGCTTCAAGCTCCTTGGAAGCAGGGACTGTCATTTGCCTTTCTTCGCATCCCCAGGACTTAGCACTATGCGTGGTGCATAGCAGGTGCTTATCGACTAACCTTTCTCCTTGCAGTGTGGCAGAAAGAGCGATGCTTTGGACCCGGAGCATCTGTGCTTGAATCCTCCCTCTCTAGGCTATTTGTGTGACCTTGGGCGAGTCACTGAGGTCCTTTCCAGTTCCAGATCTGGGAATCCTACAGGGTTCTAGGCCTCTTGAGATGCTGGGTCGTCCAGACTCACCTGCCTCAGGGGGGACCTCAGCTTCAGGTAGATGGAGAGCCTAAGAAGGGTGTTACCTCAGCTGTGTCTATCGTGTTAACTATTAGTTGATTAAGCACCTCCCTCTCGCTAGGCCCTGGGCTGGGCACAAGATCCAGCCCCGGGCCCGGAGGAGCTTACCTTCTCCCGGAGTGACGGATCACACACCCATAAGGATGGATAACTAACGGGAGAGAGGGATCGGGGCAGAGATTCCAAACGAGAGCCTCCGAATATGTGAGTAGTTTTCAGCTCCGGACAGGGGAGATCAGGGAGCGCTGCGTGGAGGAGGCGTGAAGGCGACAAGAAGGACCGAGAACACTGCGGGCGCAGGTTCTGGGCACGGAAGCCTGCCTCCATCTGCCGAAAAGTCCCGCAGCTGTCCGGGAATCTCCCGGACTGGGAACTCCCACAGGCGCCCGCCGTTGAACAGCTCGCGGGAACGCCCCTGCTTTTGGCCCCCGCCGGCTACCGTAGCTCGGACCCCTTGCGTCCCTAGCAACCGTTAGTGCGCGCCTCTTCCTTCGGAGTCCTCGAATCCCGCCCTCTCGGGGAACGCGATTGGCGGGCTCCCTCTGTCGGGCTCCGCCGGCGCCCGAGCCCCGGCCCGTGATTGGCCCGCGGGCCGAGAAGGCGCGAAGCGGCCCGCCTCTTGGGGGGGGTCCGCGCTTGGAGCCCACAGTCGGCCGGTCGCTCCGTCCTGCCCTAGGCTGTTGCCGCCGCCGGCCCTGCCCTCAGGTAGGCCTCGATTCCAGGCCTCGGAGCCGGGGTGGGGGTGGGGGAGCCTCAGGGCTCCGCCGGGACCCGCTGTGCGTCCGGGGAGAGCGAGGCAGCTCCCGGCCCGAGCGGGGCCCCCGGCGGGGAGGCGGCTCCGTGAGACCCCTCGGCCGAGGCCCGGGCGGGGGCGGCCGGCCGGAACGGGAACCGTGAGGTTCTGGGGGAAACTGAGGCACGGAGAGGCCCAGCCCCAGCCGCCCGACTAGCTGGCTCCCCCCGGCCAGGGACGCCGCCTCGAGCCTCAGTGTCCTCGCCTGTAAAATGGGGTGGTCTTTGGGACCAAACGGAATCCTGGGTTTGTGAAGCCCTTGTGGTGGGGCGACCTTGGCGGGCCTGGGAAGAATAGCCCGTGTGTGTGTGTGTGTGTGTGTGTGTGTGTGTGTGTGTGTGTGTGCGCGTGTGTGCGCGCGTACGTAGGGGTCTGTGAGTATGTGCGCTGTGAGTGTATGCACCCGTGCATAGGGGCATGGTGTGCACACATGGGTGCATAGGTGTGTGCACGTGTGCATAGGGAGTGGGAGTGCATGTGAGTCTGTACGCGTGTCTGTGCACATGTGCATAGATGTGTGAGTGTATGAATGTGTGTGTGCACTTGTGCATAGGGGTGTGTGAATGAGAGTGCCTGCAGCTGGCCAGCTGGTCAGAGGATGAAGAACAGAAGGTGCCCTGGGTCGCCAGCCCTGCGGGCCCAGGGAGGTGCCTTGCTGGGGTCCCTCGGGAAGCTGGGGTGCCCTGCGACCTGGGCTGCCTCTGCTGCCTACTGTACCAACGGTACCTTGGGCTGTGACCAGCTAGCTCTGCAAGGATGGTCTTAGTGAAGAAGAAGAATAAGGAGCCCACAGCACCTGTGTCCTGAGGAAGCCTAGACGTGGGGGGTTGAGTGGCCAGTGGGCTTGGGTGTGAGGTTGGGCCGGGTCTCCTCTGACTCCAGGAGTCTTTCCTAGAGCCCTGGGCAGTGAGGACTTTGACTCACAGTTGGACACCCCCCAGGGGCCCTCGTTCTAGTTGACCCTGAAGCTGTGTGAGCGTCCCCTCTGCGGCGCCCCAAACCCGTTGCCATCTGGAGCCTGCTTTGAAGCCCTGTTGAAGACAGCTGCGTTTTCCCCTGGGCACTCTCCTTCCTCCAAGGTGGAGGTACACGTCCAGATCCTTCACCTGCTCATCGGGTGCCTCCTCCTGCTGGGCGTGGGACAATCACACGATCTTAGAGTTGGAGCAGACAGTCTAGACCAGGGCTGGGGAACCCGTGGCCTCGAGGCCACACAGGGCCCTCTAGGTCCTCAAGCTCGGCCCTTCGAATCCAAACTTCACAGAACAAATCACCTTCATAAAAGGACTTGTTCTGCAGGTTCCCCACCCCTGGTCTAGGTCAGCCTGTACCCAAACAGGCATTCTCAGCACAAAGTCCTGGCAGCCCTCAGCCCGGGTTGTCCCCGTGATTCCTTTGCTCTCGACCTCCTCCTGAGCTGTTTGGTACAACAGGAGATCCCCCTCCTGCTGCCACATCTCTCTGCTCAGAAAGATAAACCAGCTCTTTTTGGACGAAGGTGCTTTTCAGGCTCTTTTGATCTGGTTGTAGGCATTTGGTTTCTATCTTTTAAATTTCTGTGCAGAATCATTGTCGGTGGTACCTATCCTTTCCTCCATTCATTTGCCATTTTTTGGCATCAAAACTTGCTTAAATGGGTCAGTGTTAGAGCTGTTTCTTTGTGCACTGTGCTTTTTTTCCCCCATTTCTACCCTTTTCACCAGCCGCTGGCTGATTTCTATATTTGCATGTGGATTGTTGATTCAGAAATGGCTCCCTCAACAGTAACTTGTTCTTCTTTTGTGTCTGTTAAAATAGAAGGCGTTTGCTGGGAAGTGCCCAGGAACAACACAATTGTAAACGTCTCTTCTTTCTTCTCCTCAGTCTGCCACAACTGAGTGGGCACTGAGCCGGCCTGCGTCCTGTAGAGTGCTTCCTTTCCCAGGACACAAACGAGTTGGGGCAGCGCGTCATTCCTACGGCCAGTCGAGTCTGGCTCGGGGGGATAGCGGCTTCCCTCTGTTAATTATTTTCTGTTGATCCTGCGCAGAGCTGGTTCATACATATTTGTTTGCTGTTGCTCCTGTTAGATGGTAAGCTCCCCGAAGGCAAGGACCGTCCGGCCTGGCACGCGGTTGGTGCTTAATCAGTGTTCATCGGCTGACTGCTTGATTTTGGGTGATGTGATTCCCCGTGCCAGTGCCTTCCTACTCTAAGGCTTCTTCCCACCTTCATTCCTTATTCCTGAAACATGTTGTTCACTAGCCTTTGGATGAAAAGCATTGAGTATCAAAATCTGTGCTTTGTTTTTTTTTTTCTTTGGCTAGGCAATGGGGTTAAGTGACTTGCCCGGGGTCACACAGCTAATAAGTGATACATATCTGAGGCCAGATTTGAACTCAGGTCCTCCTGAATCCAAGGCCAGTGCTCTATCCACTGCACCAACTAGCTGCCCCCAAAATCCGTGCTTTAATGAAAGCATATTAATAAAGTGTTGCTTTCAAAACTACCCCGTTTGTCCGTACTTCCTTCTCTCCCCTGTGCATTGAAAAAATGGTTTAATAGCATGTCTTTTTGGCATTGCTATTACAACCTTCACCTCCCATTACAAACTGAGACAGGAAAAAACAAAAACAAAGCCAAAGCCAAAACCTTTGTAACAGATGAGATCCCAAGCAAAACAACTCTGTACAATTGCCGTGGCCAGAGGTGCCTGTCCCTGTTACCTCTCTGTCAGGAGGTGAGTAATGTGTCACCAAAGAGTCGCTGGAGATGTGGTGCCTCATTGCATTCATGCAGGGTCTTAAATCTTTCACAATTGTTTTTTTTTCTCTCTCTCTTTTTTTTGCAAGGCAATCAGTGAAATGACTTGCCTCGGGTCACATAGCTAGTGAGTGTTATGTGTCTGGGGCTGGATTTGAACACGGGTCCTCCTGACTCCAGAGCCTGTGCTCTATCCACTGTGCCACCTAGCTGCCCCTGTAATTGTTTTTCTTTACAGTGTTGGTATCTTTGTAGAAACTCTTCTCCTGGTTCTCTCTCCTTACTCCCCCCTGCTGCCCACAAGGCCTCAGAGATGAGCCAGCCAAGCCGAAGCTGCAGGACCCCTGAGGGAGAGATGGGAGGCAGTCGATTTCAGGAAAATCAGACCACCACCACCACCCTTCTTACCCCAACCTTCCCTCAGACCCTGATGGAGACAGTCCAGGTGCTGAACTGAAGTGCTCTTGGAATAACATTGCTTCCAACATGCTGCCCTAGCTGTCATCTTAGGAAGCAAATCCTGGGGAGATACAGCTGGGTCTGGCTGGTGCTACAGCCCCTGAAGACCCAGAAAGGAAAATTCTTGCCGCCAAAGTCCTTGGCCTTGTCAAATGCTTTAACATCAAGAAACTGATGTGATTCTGTCAGTAGAAATGACATTAGGGAAGAGACATTATTACCATCTGCTTTGCTGCTGCCCCGCCTAGGGACCATGGGACCTTTCTGTTTAATGTGCAGCTGAAACCTTCCACAGGTGTTTTGTCCCCCATTAGAATGGGAGCTCTGACTTTTTTGTGTCCCCAGTGTTTAGTACAGGGCTTTGTACACAGTAAGTGCTGAATAAATGCCTTATTCTTTCATTTGTTTCTCACTGTGGTCTGCATCAGTTCATGCTGCCCAGGATTCTCTGAAATGGTCTCTTTGGTCGTTTCTTGGAGCGTGATAATAATATTTCCTGACATTCTTGTGTTGCGGTTGGCGGTGCCCTGAGATCCCAGTTGTTTGCTTTCAGGATCACGTAGTTTATTTGGCTTGGCTCACATTTCTTCTAGTAACGTAAGTCCCTAGAGATCCTTTGCCGATGTTAGGATTCTGAAGGGAGACTTGTTTATCTCTCTGTCCGAATGTTAGCACTGCAGCATCATACAGGCCCTTCTGACAACTCAGATGGATTTACCTCTCCAGGCTTCTCTTGGATCTTGTGTTTATGTTTCAGAGTTCCTATTGATCTCCGATCTTTTCATCAGCAAAGCTTGAGAGTCCCCTATTCCATTAAAGCTCCACTTTATTTTTCTCCTGTGTGATCGCACTCAGCATAGCAGGTGAGGTCGGTTTTAGTTTGCCTTTTGGAATGTGGCGTTCCGAGATCTCCTCTCCCTTACCACGGAAGCTGTCCGATATTGGGTGATCTGGATCGGCCCCTTGGTGTTGAGCTATTCCTTTCTGATTGATTGCAGGATTTGTTTCTGTGATGTAGGCGATCTTGGTCTTTGCTGGGATGTTACTGTGATTTCTCTTTCTGGGTTTCTGGAAGTGATCGGTGGATTCTTTATATCTTCACTTTGCCTTCATTTTTCATTTATGATTTCTTAAAACACAGTGCCTATTAAAATATCATTTCATGGAATCCAATAATTCTTAATTTATTTCTCCTTGCCCTGTTTTCCAAGTCAACTGTTTTTTATCTGTTTTACATTTTCTCCTATTTTTTCAATCTTTTTATTTTGTTGTAACATTTCTTGCTGTCTCATGGAGTGAAATTGATTTCTTTGGTCTAGTCTAGTTTGAAGGGAGTCTGTTACTTTAGTAAGCATTATCACTTCTTCTGTTAATCTGTTTATCCTCCTTCTAGTTCCTTCCTCTGGAGCTGTTGCTGCATTTTTCATCTCTTGCTTCATTTCTGCTAGGTGTTCATGGAGCTACTGCTTCTTTTTCAGGATCTCCAGATCTACAATAATGCTTTTTTACTGTTAGTGCTTTCTTTATCTCATCTCTCCAAATTTAGTTCCTGAATGAGGCCTCCCTTTGGATGGGTGGCCTGCCCTGCTTGGTCTGGCTCTGGGACCCTTGGATTCCTTCTCTGACTTACACCTCCTGAGCCCCACCCTGGATCTTTAAGATTTCAGAGCACAGTTAGTATTCAGTAGTTAGAGTGTTGGACACAAAGTCAGGAAGTCCTGAATTCAAATGTGGCTTCAGAGACTTCCTCGCAATGTGACTCTACCTCTTTCTGCCTCAAAAATAGGGATGATAATAGCACTGACTTCTTGGGTTATTGTGAGGGGGAAAATGGAATTATATTTGTAGAGTGCTTAGCACAGGCCTGGCACGTAGTAAGTATTAAATAAGTGCTGTTTCTTCCCGTCCTCCCTAGCACTTTGCTCTAGGGACCTTGGAGCCCCTGGGCCTCCACTATCTGTGTTTGAGCACTGCTGCTCTGCTTTATGGTCTCTGCTTCTCCCAGGGCTTCCAAGGTCCAAAGTTTTCTGACACCCTTGGATCTTTTGGGTACAGGAGGGGCAAACTCTACTTTTGCTGCCTGTGTTGGGGCTGCTGTTGATGGCAGCCTTCTTTCCCTTTGCCTGGGTCTTCTGGCCAACTTCTTTTGCAGTTATGGAAGAAGTCACTGTGGCTTCTCATTGGATTTTTTGATTATTTTTGGTCTGGTGCAAATTTCAGGTTTTTCCTGGAGTAGAGGATGTGGAAGCTGGGTGGTTAGTCTTGTTTAGACAGCTATCTTGGCTGGAAGTCTGAACGTATTCTTTAATTCTTCATGATGAAGTCATACTTTTAGCACATTGTACCTTTGATGAACAGCCCGTTTCTTGAACTTTAGCCTGGATTATAGCCAACTGATTTTCTTTAAAAAATATTTTCAGTTTCTAATTCTCTCCCTTCTTCCAGCCACTCCCCGGCCCACTGAGAAGGCAAGAAAAATGATACCTGTTACGCATGTGACATCACAGAAGATATTTTTGCATTAGCCAAAATGAAGTCAAAAGCAATACGCTTCAGTCTACACCCGAAGTCCGTCAGTTGTCTTTCTGAGGGAGGACAGTGTTTTTCATCATGAATCCTTTGGAATCGTCTTAGATAATTGCACTGATTAGAGTAGTTATGTCTTTCACGGTTGATCATCGATATATTGGTGTTCCTGTGTACAATGCTCTTCTGGTTCTGCTCACTTCATGAGTTTATCTGAGTCCTCCCAGGCGTTTTTGAAACCTTCCTGCTTGTCATTTCTTATAGAACAATACTATTCCATCACAATCATATACCACAGCTTGTGCAGCCATTCCTCAATTGGTAGGTATCCCCTCAGTTTCCAATTCTTTGCCACTGCAGAAAGAGCTGCTCTAAGTATTTATGTTCAAATAGGTCTTTTCCCTCTTTTTTTGTTCTCTTTGGGGTACCAGCCTGATAGCAAGGTCAGAGGGTATGCGTAGTTTTATAGCCCTTTGGCCATAGTTCCAAATTGTTCTCCTGAATGGTTGGATCACAATTCCACCAGCAGTGCAATAATGTCCTTATTTTTCTACCCTCTACCCCAGCTCCCAGCGTTTGCCATTTTCCTTTTCTGTCATGTTAGCCAATCTGATGTAGGAGTGAGGTGGTATTTATTAATTTACATTTCTCTAATTATAAGCATTTTGGAGCATTTTTTATGTGGCTATTAATAGCTTTGATTTCTTCCTCTGAAAAGTGCCCATTTATATCCTTTGACCACTTGTCAATTGGGGAATGGCTGTTGTTTTTATAAATTTGACTCAGTTTCCCAACATCCTTGAGAAATGAGGCCTTTATCTGAGAAACTTGCTGTGAAATGTCCCCAGTTTCTAGCTTTCCTTCTAACTTTGGCTGTATTGGTTTCACTTGTGCAAAGCCTTTTAAATTTAACGTACTCAAAGCGATCTGTTCTGCCTCGTGTGATCTTCTCTATCTCTGGTTTGGTCGTGAATTCTTCCCTTATCCATAGATCTGACAGGTAAAAATTTCCATGCTCCCCTAATTTGCTTTTGATGTCACCCTTTATATCTAAATCATGGACCCATTTTGAGTTTATTGTGGTGTACAGTATAAAGTGTTGGTCTATGCCTAGTTTCTGCTAGACTGCTTGCCAGTTTCCCCACCACGTTTTGTTGAATAATGAGTTCTTGCCCCAAAAGTTTATGTCTTAGGGTTTATCCACATTGGGTTACTACGGTCATTTACTTCCGTGTGTTATGTGCCTAATCTGTTCCATAGATTAATCTATTTTTTTTTTATCCAGTACCAGATTGTTTTGATGATTACCACTTTGTAGTATTCCTTCGAGGCCACCTTCCTTCACTTTTCATTGATTCCCTTAGTATTCTTGACTCATTAAAGATGGGAAACTGACTTAATTGGGTTTCATCTGGTCGAGGTCAGGCATTCTTAGTCAGCCTGATATTTGGACTATCTATGCACATGGTCTTTACTATCACAAAATAAAACTATCAAAATTATTGCTTGTCCCAAGGAGCTAATAGAACACTGTATATCTAGTTTAAATCTATAATTTTTCTATCATAAGCGTCTGGGAGGTGTGGCAAATGGTAGATAGAGAGCCGATGGCTGAGTGCCTCAGTGTTTTGGGCAGCTTTCTAAGATGATCAGTTCTGGGACAGCTGCTGACCTGGTCTGGTAGAAGGAGTCTTCCCGCTGGGGCTTCCCAATACCAGTGAAATCAAGATGATGATAAAAAAGATGGTGATGAATCGTGATTCTTCATGCCTGGTTATTTTTGTGCAGTGCTCAATATATAACTATGGGCGGTCAGGCACTTGATAAAGACTTTTTGATGGTAATAATTAATAGAGTTGAATGAATTTTCCTTTTCTTTTTCTAGGTGATTTCTTAGGGGTGACAAGTAGGTGATCTGCTTCAGGTCTTCAGATGTCCTTGAAGATTTTCCTGGAAGATGGTTTTGTGTGTACACCAAGGGGATTGTCCTTATTGGAGAATGTGGAGATTCCGTTTGAAGAAGATGGCTTAGAGCTGAGCAGACACTTTCCCAGGGTTTTCCAGCATCTGAGCAGGAAGAATGGCTTTACCAGACTCTGTAACAGTAAGAAGTCACTAACGGGTAATTATCTCTTGGGGAAGTTGTACACTTGTTAATTAGAAACTTTTGATTTCACCTGTTCTTTTAATTTTCTATTATATGTTTTTATTCATTATTTAAAAAAACAATATGTTTTCGAGAAAAAGAGAATTCAATTATGGAAGAACTTTTCAGTTTCATGTGCCTTCTTTTTATGATCTTTGTATATTGAAATATTGGTGCTTGTTAAGTTTGGGGAGAAAAAGGAAACATATCACTGTAACCCTTGGTTACTTGGTTTGTGTCCTTGAGGCAGATTTATGAAAAATCACCTCGGTCTGTCGTAATTTTGTGCTCAGAAGGAAGCTTATGCCTCCATCTAGGGAGAGAAAACTCCTTGGGATGATATCCCAGCTAGGCTGGGTGACTGGCAGGTGACTCCCAGAGAACGTGTGTGTGTTCTCATGCTGAAAAAAGGACTGGGCCAACTAGATAATATTAAATCCATTAAATGGAGTCTTGGACAAAATGAAAACAATGCCTCACAATTGAAGGGCAGTGAGGCAGGGGTGGAGACAGCATCAGCAGCCCCTCTCAGCTCTCCAGCTCCTGGGCTAGTGGCCCATAGTAACAAGCAGAGCTCCACCCCTCCCTGTCTGCCCATCTGGCCCTTGCTTCTCCTGCTCCCACGTATGGGAATTGCAACTGCCGAGGTTGTGGTGCTGCTGTGAGTGAGGCTGCTTTCCCCTTCCTCTTTCCTTGTCTGCTGCTACAGCTCCTCCAGAAACCTGCCTGGAGGCCAGTCCTAGTCTTCTGTTAGCTTCCTCTCTTCCCAGGCTGGCCATCCAAAGCCTGGCCAGAAACTGGGCTGTGAAGAAGGAACTCGGTTCAGGCATCCCAGAGGCTTTAGGAGCTGGGTGTGCATTCGGGTATTTTGTTGGGACCACAGAAACTGGACCTGAGTGTGAGCTGGGCTCCTTGTTGATTTCAGTGTCCTGTATTAAGAGGGTCTGAGCGCACGTGTGGACTGGCAGGCACAGTCTGGGCCTTTTTGTGTTCCCAGGGCTTGCCATAGTGCCTGGCACAGAGTAAGTGCTTGATAAATGTTTAGTGATTGACCAGCCATTATCAAATGTGTGCCAAACATTGAGAATACAAGACAGGCAAACAGCCCCTATCTCCAGGAGCTCCCATTCTAATGGAGGAGATGGCCTGCCAACAGCCATGTAGACACAAGATAGAGGCAGGGCAAATGCAAGCAGTCTTGCGGGGAAGTCAGTGGGATTCTGGGGGGTCCTCCCCACGCCTTAGGAAGGCTGCTTTGGCTGCTGAGTGGAAGGTGGGTCGGGGGAAGAGAGATGAGGCCGAGAGAGCAGCCAGAAGGCTTCTCCAGTAGTGAAGGCCTTCACCTTCAGGTGTAGGTGGTGTGGTGGCTGTGTGCGAGGAGGGAAGAGTACAGATGGTAGAGATGTGGCCTTGTCCACATCACACATGTGGGACACGTGAGAGAGAGAGAGAGCTTGAAGATGGCATCTTCCCTGGAAGCTGAGGCTGGTGGTGGTTTTTGGGGAAAGACAGTGACTTCAGTTTCAGATATAATGAGTTTAAAATGTCTGTGTTTGAGATGTCCAAGGAGCAGTTGGAGATGTAAGACTGGAGGGGCAAGAAAATGGTTAGGGCTGGATAAAGAGATCCTAGAATCATTTACGTCGAGATGATAGTTGAACTCATGGTTGCTGATGATATCACCAACCCTGATAGTATAGAGGGAGAAGGAAAAGGGGTCCCAGGTCAGAGCCTTGGGGGACAGCCGTGGTCAATGGGCATGATTTAGAGAAAGAACAAGCAAAAGAGACTGAGGAACAGTCAGATAGATAGGACAAGAAACAAGAGAGACCCTGAGATGAGGATGGATTAAGGAGAAAAGGATGGTTAAGAGAAATCAAAGATGATGATTGAGAAAAGGACATTAGATCTGGCAAGTAAGAGGTCACTGGGAGGTAGTCAAGACGGTAGCTAGGTGGCACAGTGGATGGAGTGCCAGGCCTGGAGTCAGGAAGACCTGAGTTCAAGGCTGGTCTCAGACACTTAATAGCTGTGTGACCCAGGGCAAGTCGCTGAACCCTGTTTGCCTCGGTTTCCCTATCTGTAAAAATGAGCTGGAGAAGAAAATGACAAACCACTCCAGTATTTTTGCCAAGAAAACCCCAAATGGGGTCACAAAGAGTTAGATACAACTGAAAAATGATTCAACAATAACAATACGGTGGAGTAGCAGGAAGTAATGAAGCTCAATTTCTCTACCAAACCTTCTCCACAAAGATCCACAACGAATTCTGATCGAGAAACCCAGGAAAAAGTCACAGTGAGTTGTTTTTCCAATCTATGGAGACTTTGGGAGTCAGAGAAGTATGTGGACCCTGGGGACAGGGTCAGGCCAGGAGCATGCCACATGAGAGAGCTGAGACAGAGCTCCAGGGCTGGCAGAGATCCCAGAGGATCCCTGACCTAGCACAGGGTGCAGGCACTGGGGCCATTTACACAGTTCTGGGTCAGAGTGAGGGGAGGGATCTGTGTAAAGGGACTGTGGAAAGAAGTGTTTGCTGATAGGCCCTGCCTGTTTATTGAGCAGTTGTGTGGTTGGTCTCGGGAACAGATCAAGGACGTAGCTCTAGCCTCCAGCCTGGAGAAGCAGGGCAGGAGTCCCAGAGCGAGGGGGGGTCGTTCTGAAGCCTCAGGAGCCTCTCAGTGGGCTAATAGTGGCTGAGACCATCATCTGTCTGTTGGAACTCCCAGCTCGGGACCAACCTGGATTTGGAACTTCTTGCAGAGCTCATCACTCCAGATCACATCACTTTGAGAGCATTGAAAGCTTGCAGACCCCAGCCTGAGCTGTGAAAGCAGCGCAAGTATGTAAGAGGGCAGAAACTCAGGCTAGACCTTCCTGCTGGAAGTGTTCAGCGTCTAGTGTGAATATGACGTCCACGGTCAACAAGTTGACTGGAAGAGTGAGTAAAAAAAAAAGAATCCTACCAAAAAGAGCTGTCATGGGGACAGGGAAGCTCAAGACACAAACCCAACTGTGTGACCCTGGGCAAATCACTTAACCTCATTGCTGAGCCAAAAAAAAAAAAGACACAAACCCAAAAGAAGAGAACGACTCAAAAACATTTACAAGCAAAACCTCAAAGAAAAATGCATCTTGGACACAAGTCCAACCAGAATTCCTAGAATAAAGTGTAACAGTTAAAATAAAGTAAACTGAGGGACAAAGTTCTGAGCATGATCAATTTATTAGTAAAATGTAAATTTACTAATAAATAGGATCTCAGCTCCCTGAACGAGGGAGACAGTTTTCTTTTATAGGTTTTGGCAAGGACAGAACAAAGAAGAGAGCTGCATAGGTCACATCATGGGATTGAGGACAACATGACTGCTTACATAGCTGAGGCACGGGGAACAGTGTGATTGGTTGAAAGTTTGGTAGTGAGGGGCTACCAACGACCCTCTCCTTTCCCCCAAGACTAAGAAGTCTTCATTGTTTTAGTCCTCCTTCAAGACAGGGGCCCAGACTTTTTTTTTCCATTTTTAAAAAATGTTATTAATTTATTCTGATTTATCAACAATCACTTCCATATGCTTTTGAGTTTAAAATTTTTCTCCCCCTTCCTCCCCACCACCCTCCCCAGGATGGCACGCAATCTCATATAGACTATATATATACATTCCTGTTAAACGTATTTTCACGTTAGTAAAGTTGTAAGTAAAAATTAAAACCAATGGGAGGAACCATCAGAAAGAGGAAACAAAACTCAACAGAAGAGAAAAAAAAAGATAGTGATTCAACTTTCACAGTTATGATTACTGTCTGTGTCTTTTTCTCCATCCTTTTCCCCCTTGTTTATGCTTTTCTTTCTCCTTACTCCTTTCTCCCCCTCACTAGTGTTTTGCTTTTAACCACCGCCTCCTTCAGTCTCTCCTCCCTTCAATTATCCCTTTTCCTTTTCTTTCCCCTTTTCCCTCCTACTGCCTATAGGGCAAGTTAGATTTCTATACCTAACTGATTATGTTATTCCCTTCTTGAGCCAAACCTGATGAGAGTAAGGTTCAAACAATGCTCAAACCCCCCCCCCTTCTTTCCCTCTGCTGTAATAGGATTTTCTGTCTTTTCCTGTAATGTAATTTACCCTTGTCTGCCTCCTCCTTTCTCAGTACATTTTCTAAGATCAGACTAATCCACTTAACTTGGATCCATTTAACCCATTTGGTTAGATTTTTTTTTATCATTACATCAAAGTCAACTAATATCCACCCCCTTTATGTATACTCCTTTATCGTGGTGTAATAACAATACAGTTCTCAAGAGAATGCAACTGTCATCTTCCCTTGTAGGGATGTAAATGGTCCACCGTTATTAACAACATTTTGTATCTTTCTGTCCCATTTACCTTTTTAAGTCCTTCTTGAGTCCTGTACTTGAAGATCAAATTTTTTGTTGAGCTCTGGTCTTTTTATGAGGAAGGTTTGGAAGAACCCTATTTCGTTGAATATCCATCTCCTCCCTTGAAAAATCATGCTCATTTTTGCAGGGTAGTTGATCCTTGCCTGCAATCCAAGCTCCTTTGCCTTATGGAATGTCATGTTCCACGCCCTGCGGTCTTTTAATGTAGAAGCTGCAAGGTCCTGTATAATCCTGACTGTGGTTCCATAGTATTTAAATTGTTTCTTTCTGGCTGCTTTCAGCGCCTTCTCTTTCATCTGGTAATTTTGGAATTTTGCTATTATATTCCTTGGCATTGTCAATTTGGGATCTCTTTCAGGTGGTGAGCAGTGGATTCTTTCTATGGTTATTTTAGCTTCTGGTTCTAGGACTTCAGGGCAGTTTTCCTTTATGATTTCCTGAAAGATACTGTCCAGGCTCTTTTTTTCATCATGATTTTCAGGTAGTCCAATGATTTTTAAATTGCCTCTCCTGGATCGATTTTCCAGGTTGGTTGTTTTATCGATGAGATATTTTACGTTTTCATCTATTTTTTCATTTT